ACAATACCTAGTGAAATTGTGATGAGCGACTTCATTTTCATATCTATACATAAAACGTTTCTTTTTTTTTTCTTCCTCTCAATATAGTAAATGATAAGGACAACAGAAGTTCATCCTTCCTCAATTATCAGTGACACACTACAAAAAATTAAAGCAAAACTCACCTAGTACCATCTGCTTTGAGTAGCGGTTCTTCAAGAAGATCGTAACAAACTTCATTATAAATTTCAATATATGAAACGAATACTGCACAAGCCAAATCCGGATTAGCACCGCTAACCTAAATCTTTCTTATATGATTTGAACAAAAAGCATATCGGAATATTTTAGAGATATTATCAGGATAATAACACTAAAACCATCTTTTGACTAAAACATATCTTTCTCTAAAGATCATTATTTAAAAATCGTTGATATAATAGAATTAGAAAGTTCGTTAAAAGAGTGTTGTATGAAATCAAAAATCACCCTTCGACGTTCAACATAGCGACTTGCTAATTCAATTCCATTATCGGAATGTTCGAGTTCTAAGCGTCGTCGTGCAAGTGCTGATTCAAACTCATCACGCACATTAAAACCATTACGCCCATCTGGTTTGAAAACACATTTATCTACGCGGTTGATCAAAGAATTGAATATGACATCGAGAGTACGTGGAAGAATTCCAATCGACTCTTCCTATAAAAGCTACTTTGAAACATTTCAATGAGCAGTTAGATTTCTAAACACTGAAATGAAAAGAAACCGATGTTTTTCAAGGAGCTAATCGACGAACATTTGAAATACCATTGAAGTTAAGTACAGCACTAAGATATCAGAGTTCAACATGTGCTAATCTCATAGCAACATAAGAAATAATACAGTAAGAATTTGGTTTTTATACTGGAATGAAAAGTTAAAGCAATCACTTCGGTATTTCCGGTCATTGTGTAAGTTTTACCACTTCCAGTTACTCCATAAGTGAAAAGTAGTGAATTCTTTCCGCGGATCAGATTTTCGATCAAATCCAAAGCAGTACGTTCAAACACGACCCGCTGACTATCACTGTCGTCAAAGACATATGAAAATTCGTAAGTAGCTTCCAACTGCAAATTACTTGGCTAAAGTTCATGTGATGTATCTAAATACTTGTGAACAGAAAGCAGCTAGATAGCTATCGAACTACAACTTACTGTGCAAACAAAAGAAAAACGTCAACAGCCTAGACACATAATACAGCTCAGAACATAGAAACCCACATATCACATTCCTTTCATTTTAACAACAGCTGGTCTGATTAAAAACAGAGATTAGGAAAAAGAAAATCTTTTTGTTACCGGCACACCGTTCCTGGACTGTATAGAAGCAGGTTGAACAAATCGAACATGCTCATCATCGATTGGTATCACGCAAGGATCATTGCCTTTATATGGACATAAACGACAAACTACTTCCACATTTTCTTTATGATCCGTCCGTTTACCTCCTCGCCGTGAAGGTGTTCCAGGACGTCTAAAATATTTAACCAATTGCTTTTAATAAACAAATAACTCATGAGAAGACTTCCTCTCCTTACACATTTCTAGTTTCTCCTCCCTACCAAATAAACTTTTCCGAAAACAACCCATCTCGAAGAATTTCAAATACATATACCTACCTACCCTACCTTTTTTTAAAACTTCTTTAGTTGAAGTGAAATTAAAATATGCATCTTCAATAAATAAATCAAGAAAACATACTTCCGTGAATTCACCATTCAGTCTAAGAACTTTCGGCAAATTGTTAGAATATTTTTACTGAAAAAATACCTAAAAAGAGGTATAACTGAATACTACTTGTCCATTATTAATAAAGACAAAAAATCTCAGATCCAATTACTTTATTATTCCATAATTTCTCATAAATTTTATTCTATTATTCCATGTTTGCATTTCACATCTCACAATTATGCAATAATTTTTCATTACAAATGATGATATAATAGCCTGATCATTATCGAATATTAAAAAAGTCTTTAACCGATAACAATAACATATCCTCTCGCATCACACCAATCATCACGATAGTCATATGAGAATTATTCGTTTAAAAAGATATAAATACAGAAGCTATCATTAATACCTATATATATATATATATATATATATGACCACTTCTTTTGCTTTTCATGTAAAAGCAAAAGAAGAAAAAGCCAAGGCGTACGTGGGATACATCACGTAAAACCTCACGTATCCATCTCTCTCCCTTTCTGTTTCCACGCAAATTAAACAAATCACCGTACCATATAAATTTGAATCTCATCTTCTAGCGCTTAATATCGTAATCGTTCAATTACAAATCAGAATTTCGTTGCGAAACCAATCAAGGGTTAATTAGTGTAAATTAAACTAAACGAACAGATGGATGGATGAATGGCGATTATTTGTTTGTTTACTTGGCAGAATTGATGTGTGTTTTTTTTTTTCAATTATATAACTTTCAGGAAATCCCGGGATTTCCTCAAATAATTTTTTCTTTTTCTTTTTATTTTTTTTTACAATTTTGTTTGAGAGTATATTCTGAAATAATTGCTAAAAAAATTAGATTATAAGAAAAATGAATTATCTAAACCAAAAATTAAATATATTGAAATGAAAGATAGCAATTATCTCATATTGTCACACATTTTTGGATATTTTGTAAATTTGCATTTTGTAAGATTTCAAAAAAAAAAAAGTAACCAATAAATTTTGATAGACAAACGCTTTAAGTATTGCATTGTCTATGAAAAGATATTTTGAAAAAAAAATTTAAAATTTTTCAAATTTTTGAAAAAAATCAAAAAAAAAAGTTTCCAAACAAAATTTACAATTATATTTATTACATATTGCTAAGAAAAAAACAAATATTATCAGTTCTTTTTTAGATTTATTTTCATTTTCATTTTCTTTTTTCATAAATTAAACGCAATGAAATAATTAAAAAATTTTTTACATTTCTAAAAATTATTATTTAATATTTAATTATTTCAAATATTTCATTTTATATAATCATTTCCTTAATGTATGTGCAATATTTGCGTATTCATACAAAATTTTTGACTTCTATAAGAAATGCACAAAAAATTAAATTATTACTTTTGATTAGGTAATTTTGATAAATCATTTTTTTTTAATTTCATTTGAAAACAACATAAATTATATAAATGAAATTTCAATTTGGAATGAATTATTGAAAAAGTGCACCTATCATTGGATATTAAATTCCTAGTGGATTAATCCAAAATTGCAATTATATTTCAGTTCTCAGTTAAACATTTTACAATACTCTTCGAGAAAGGACAGATTGAATTAATTAAATTAATATTTGAATATGTAAAGTAATCAAAATTCAATTGTACGATTTTATTGATAAACTGTGAAATAATTTTTAAATGATACATTTAAATGAAACTTATTTTGACATGCATATAAATTACTGCTTTCTAAAGAAATTACAATTCATCCAATTCAAATTTGACATCTTATTTTCATTTTTTTTTTTTTTTACAAAATATTGTTTTAATTCTTGACAAATAATTTTTAATTAATTGCAATTGTTGATCACAATTTGAAAATTTGCAGACACAATAACAATTAGAGTAACAAAATTTAATTAAAAGTTTTTTATGATAAAAGAAGTTAACTGATATTTTTTTTTACATTTATTATTTCTATCTTTTGTTATAAAATGATTTTAAAAAAAGAATGAAAAAAATAAAAATCAGTTCAAGAAAGAATGAATGTTTTTTTCTTATTAGAATTTCAAAAATATTTTAAAAGATAAACGATAATATTTAGCATTAAAATGCACCATATGTTTAAATTTATTTAAACATATGGTAAATAAAATCAGGCAAAATGAAATTAATGAATTATTATTATATTATATATCAAATGCAATGATATGATAACTACACACATAAATATTTATGAAAAAGATTTGATAATTTTAGTTTTCATTTTTTATAATTACTTCAAAAAAAAAAGGAAAGAATATTTTAACAATAGATGCAAATTTCTCTTGCTAATCAATTACTGATATTTAAATATAATTAATTACTGATATTTAAATATAACTTTCTAAATTAATATTTCAAGTAGTATTATTAGGAAAATTTGAAAAACATTATCTTTTTATTGAATGATTACTAAACTAAAGAAAAAAAGAAATGCAGTTAAAAATATTTGTTTTTGATTATATTTCCTTAAAGAATTTCATTTGTTGAGAAAATTTTTTTCACAACAAATAAAATTGATAGAAATTGATTTTTTCTTTCTTTGGGAAAAGTTTTTTTCTTTTTTTTTTTAATTTGCAATTTTGAAGCAACTTAATTGAATATAAATATTTTTGTTGCAGAATGACTCAGGATTATTATAAAGTTTTTTTTTTTTTTTGTAAGTTTACTTAAAGTAAAGAAATATTTAGAGACGGAAGTGGTCAGCTTAAACTATTTATGGATGGATATGATGATAAGATGATCAGAAATGTTATATGATAAGATAATGAAAAATATCAATTAGTCAAATGAATTAATCAGAAACTGATAAGATTCAATGATCAATCATTCGTTGTTTAACATTGTCTGATCAATCAATCAATCAATCATTTTGCTGATTTAGATCAAACTGATTAAGATCACTGATTGACAAAATAAAATAAAGATGGAAAAAGAGAATAATTCAATATAATCAATGTTAACCTAAAAAATACAACAAATATTTGAATAAAAATTTAGTTTATTTATTATTTGATGTTTATTATTATTTATTATTTGATGTTTATTATTATTTATTATTTGGTGTTTATCATTATTTATTATTTGGTATTTATTATTATTTATTATTTGGTATTTATTATTATTTATTATTTGGTATTTATTATTATTATTTATTATTTGGTATTTATTATTATTTATTATTTATTATTTATTATTATTATTTATTATTTGGTGAATCAGTGACATTCAATATTCTGCGACAATATATTTTAGCGTTAATATTTTATGCAAATGCTTGTTTTTTACAAACAAAATGTGACACAGTGTTACTTTTACAATCTTCTGAAATCCATGTGCCATTTGTTAGTAGTATAGCACAGTGCTGGGATGGATTACGAAGTGAAAGTTTTGAAAATGATAGAGTTGTACCATCGGTCCAATGCCATGTTGTATGGACATCATCGTAAGCAAGACCAATCCATGCAGATTGCCAGCCAAAAAATGTTAATGTACCTGGGAATAATATAGGTAAATTTTTGAAGATAAATTATTTAATTAATATTTGTTAAGAAAAATTTGCTTTTTTTTTTTCATTGTAAAATATTCAAATAGGAAAAAATTAATCGAACAGAAATAAAAAGTTGAAAAAGTAACAAAAAAAAAAAAAAAAGGAATGAAAATGTATTTATTATTTTAGAATATAAAAAGTGCAAAAGTTTATTTAGTATTTAAATGTAATTTTTTGTAAAAAAAATTTTTTTTTTTATTTACTAAATTTAAAAATAAATTTAATTTCTTAAATTATACTTTGTAAATCATAATTTTCATCATTCGAATGAATGGATACTAAATCAGATGAACCACCATGTAGATCACTGTATGAACGACATTTTTCACGTGCGCTTTTTTGTGTCAACATAGTTAATTCATCAGTGTCATCGTCAATGCTTGCAACGTACTGAAAAAATAAATAATAATTAGTACCTAAAATATTTTTTTTTAATTAAAATAAACAGTAGATAGTAATTAATTAATTAAAATAATAAATAGTAATTAAAATAAGCAGTATTTAATATCTATAATAATTCTATTACACTACTCATTATTTCTCATACTAATAATTGATTGCATACAAATATTGTAAATAAATTTCCTAAAATTAAAAAAAAAAGAGGAAATATCATACCTTATAGCAATATGGTACTTTTATTTTCAATGATTGATTATAAAGATAAATTGGTCCATCCCATTCAAAATCTCGACATACTGCAAAAAAAAAAAAAGAAAGAGCAAAAATATTTTTAAAAGTAAATTTTAGCTTAAATGATTTAGTTGTAATTAAATTAATTAAAATATTAACACTAACATTTTTCAGTTTGATGTTGAGATGATAACAGTTGACGATTATCACTGTTATCATTGATAGTGTGATGTTCAATAGCAATTGCTGGATGTTTTGAGATGGTTGATGGAAAAAGTGAGCTTTCCTCTAATTTACGTTCAAAATTAAATGAATCACTTTGTACTAGACCTGCTTTCATTTCAGCCATTGCTGTTTTTAAATAATCTATTGGTAAACAATTTGCTGGCAAATTCAATAAATTATTTGATGCTGATGAGGTTGATGATAGAGAATTACGCTTCTGCCTATAAAATTTTGTATAAAATGGTAAGTGATAATTAGTTGAAATAAATATTTGCATAAATATTTATTTATAACTAATATTTATACAATTTTATCAATAATTAGATGAATTAAGACAAAATATATTAAAATTTAATGGAAATTAAATTTAAATTAAATTAGTAAAACGATTAAATAATATCAATAATTTATCAATTTAAAAAAAAAAAACCTCAATATTCTTATTATTATTATGAAAAAAAAATTATTATAAACTAATATTTATGCAATTTTATCATTTAATAATTTACAGATTATAAATTTGGCTCATTAATCTAATATTCTTAATGAATTATATTTGAAAAAAAATGCTCGAATATTTCACCTTGCAACTGGAAAACATTGAATATTTGGTGCAATGGTTGTTGTTGGTGTACGAGGATTATACGTGCTTGGATGTGATTTTGGTTTTGTCACCGCACTGGTTGCTAAACATCCATTACAGCGTTGTATTAATTCGAGAATATGAAACCAAATGGTTGATAGTAAAATATACAACCAAATAGTTGATAGTTGATAATACATTTTTTAATTTCTTTCTTTGTTTTTCTTTTTTTTCCCTTTCAAATTAATAATCTAAATTAAATATTTAAAAAAAAAAAAATTTCATACTATCATATTTTTATAAAAAATACATTTAACATTGCGATAATCATACGATACTAATACTTATATAATATTACAATCAGTTTTTTTTTTTTGATCTTAATTAAAATCTAACACTTTTATATTATTCGACAAATTCTGTCAATATGAAAACATTCATCATAAAAGTAAACATTTATTAAATTAATATATGAAATAAATAACTATTCTAATTAATCATATAAATTAAAATTCATTTTTAAATTATTTTTTTTTTTTTTGATTATAGCTCAATTACTCAAAAGTGTAATTACTAATATCTAATAGGATATATAATAGCAGAAATAACCAGATAAATTATGATATTTAAATTAATCATAATACTTAAAATAATCATGATACTTAAAATAATCATAATATTTAAACTAATCATGATAGTTGAAATAATTATGATATTTAAAATAATTGCAATATTTAAAAGATAAAAAATATTTGTTGGCTATAAACGATGATGACATTAATGAGAAACTAGCAAATGATCAAATATTGTTGGCATTTTAAGTGATCAAAAAATACAAACAAAAATAAATTCAATTGACCGGGAAGTAAATCAAACATTCTTAAATATTTTTTAAAAAAAAAAAATATTCTTTCAAAGACGAATAATCATGCATAACCTATTTTTGCAATTACTAATATTTTTAAATTTGAATTGAATCAATTTATTTTGCTATAAAATTTTCTAAATTTTTCTAATTTATTCATTCATAATTCTTTTCTGTATTATTTTATTATTCATGCAAATGTCACATATTTATGTCACTTAAAATAATAAAAAAGAATTTTTTTTTGAATTCTATAAAATATCTTTATCGAATTATCACTTCTTTATGTCTATTTACTTTGTATGATAAATGATTTTTTTTTTTTTATTATTATTTCGATTAAATAAAGTAATACAATTTGATTCTCATTTGATCATTTGTAATCTCAATTAAATAAAAATTTAAAATTTATTGCTTATCATCATGACAAAGTGCACATTCATCTTTTCAATCATTTTAATCTTCATACTTCATCCTTCTTTTTTTAATTATTTACCAAATTCCATTATCTTAGATTGTGGTGATTACTTTAGATTGCAAATCAATAATTTTAAAGCTAATTTGACAACTAATAATTTTGAAATAATTATATGAATAGACACTTTATTTAAAAATTTAAAATCACATCATCAAATTTAGGAAAAATTTTTCAATTGCTTCAATTTTACAAAAATGCAAAAAATTTGTAATCAATTCATCTTTTGCGGAATCATCTGTTCTCTGCGATATAACTTTATTACACAATTACATCAAACAGAAAAAAGAAAAAATTTGAGTTTCGAAAATGTCATAAAGGTCAGCTCACGATTGATGTAAATGATTGATGCAGAAACTTGAAATTATGATATTATCAAAATTATTCTCCTATTCAAAACTGTTATCAAAATTATGTCACGAGCTATATTTTTGCTTTAATTCATCTCTTTAAAATACTCTCGATCATTTGACATCTGCAAAACAGTATTTATGACTGTAAATATTTTAACTGCCAAAAAATACACTACTTTTTGACAAGAAAACAAAGACAATTTGTGATAAGACAACAAAAACGATTCAGTGATAGGACAACAAAAACAATTCAGTGATAAGACAACAAAAACGATTCAGTGATAAGACAACAAAAACAATTCAGTGATAAGACAACAAAAACGATTTAGTGATAAGACAACACAAACGATTTTTGTGTTTTTCTATTATTAGCGCACTTATTAATTTTTTACATGGAAAAAAAGAACACTATTCTTATAAGAATTACACAAAATATGTAGGATAAAAAATACTACTATTAATATATGATGATGATAACTTATCAATATACAAATTATTCCCAGTGTTTAACAACAAAAACAAAATGATGCATTTATTTATCTGACTTCCAATGGCAGCGTATCCACACTTCATTAATAAGTATTCATTTCTAAGTAGTCAAAACAGATACAATCATAATTCAGAAGTATAATAAAAATAGCTATTGATCTAATACAAATATTAGAAATGCATCAACAAATTTAATACATAGTAAACAAGAAAATAAGAAATCTCAGTCTAATATATAGTAGAATTTTACTCAAGAAAAGAGTTTCTCTAATTAAGCTGTTCCTAGTAGCTTCTCATTGCAGAAATCTTTCACATTTTGTAAAATTTCTATTTCTGATAATTTCAACTTTTCAACCATAGATTTTCGAACTGCATTATATTTGATAAATTCAGATGATTCTGAATGCGCCACTTTAATCGGGTCGGTTACTCTATCATATGCTCTAAGGAGAAGAGCAAAACGATCATGAAGAAAATTCCAAGCTTTTCGAACATTATCTGATGAGTTCAGTGCTTCTTCCACTTGTTCATTTGTTGAAAATACTTCATCCAAAACATAAATTTGAGCAAAACGAAACAATAAATCATGGAAATATGGCTTTGATATGTTTATTTCGAAAGCGAAAATTGTCGATTCAGCAAGAAAACCAAGTTCATGAAATAAACGCATGCGTGCAGCTTCACGTTTCGATTTTGGAAGTCCTGAAAGCAGTACCTTTTAAGAGAAAACAACTATGATTTTTGGCTTATCGTTTATTATCTTCTTTTTTCCAGTTGATTTTGCTTCTGAAACTTTGATGTCAATTTTACAATAGAAATATCCATCTTTCAATATTCGGCATAAATTAACGAATAAAATGCATTTTTTTTTTTTATTTTATTAAGTCTACTTAATAAAAATTTTGCTTTTTTCTTTTCACTAATAAAATTTTGTTTCTCATAAACAGCAGCAAAAACAAATGAAAAATTGTCAAACACTCGTAACATTTCAATGAGGTAATCAGTAGAGTATTTTGCATTTTGCAGATTATGTTTTTGCTTGAGAAGGATGAGAACGGGAGAGCAGCCTTACTGATGGTCACCAAAAATTGATTTCAATATTCTTTTGAAAATTTTTGTGTAAATATACCCTAAATAATTTGTAACCTACCAATTTTCAACTTATAAATATCTCGAGTGTTTTTCTCGGAAGGTACAAAACCATTATGCAGCAGGAAATCACGATTGCTTCGCCAACCGTAGAAAATATTCACAGGTTCTAAAGGTTTGTAATCTCGAACAGCAATAATTTCGGCAGAGTCAAATTCAACCGAAAAATGTACTGATTCATGAAAAGTTCCCTCAATGTAACTATGATTTGCCATATCCAGAAATGGTATCAATCCAGGTATCTGAATTTAAAAAAGATGCAATTAAAAAAAAAAAAAAAAAATGTACGAACGACTATCAGACAAAAAATAATGAGAAATAATGCTATTTGAATCACTATGTCTTATTTAAAATTTCAAAAATTTGAAACTAAGACAGCACCAATAATTCTCGACATTTATAATAATAAATATAACAGCATATTTTGCATAGAAATTCTTACTGAGAAAAAATTCATTGGAAAGAAAAAAAAAATTCAAACTTAACTGACATGTGCTAAGTAAAGTAGCATAACAATAGAATGAATAAATTCACACACATGATTAAAGCCTTCTATCTAAAAAGTGAATTTTTAATAATTTAAAAAACGCACCAGTCGTGGTTGACCTACATCATCTCTTGACATTTCACTTGGTATCATATTAATACGCGTTGAAATGCATGCAACGGACCATCGATATAAATTAAATGTGAAATTTGTTGCGGTGAGAGGAGAATTAACATATATTGGCTCCAGCTTTTCTTTTGATTTCTAAAACATTATATTGAACCAATTTACTACTGCAATGAAATGGTATCTATGTTTACATACTTATGAACTATCCAGATTAACAAACTTCGAGATAAAAACTTAGAATAAAACTTATTTCAACCATTGTAAACCAAAGTTCATCTGATTTAGTCTGAGTTATTTTTGCCTGCGGGGAAAACAACAATTTTCTTGAGGATAAGAGTTATGGACTGAATAAATAAACAAATAAAGTGTTTCTCTAAAATTCAGAAAGATAAGATAAAACATAAAGTTTTTTCATGATAGCAAGTAACAATAGTGAGTATGTAATAAAGTATCCATTAAAAATTGTTTCATCAAATAATATTACTTTTTTTCTATGACGAAATTCATCGCTGCGTATAATTTCCAGTAAGAAGTGAATAAATTGCCTCGAAACATTTCTGTATAGCAATAACGATTCTTCAAATAACGGTGATGGACGCAAAAACTAAAAAAATAAAAGCAGTTAAAATGAAAGTTGCTATATTGCATATTAATGCAACGATATTAATATTACACATTTTTTCGTTAAAGATATAAATAATCCTAGAAAAGGCTTTCTGGAAAAAGATCCATATACCAATTAAGGTAAACAGAACAGAGCTCTTTTACGCTGATAAATTATGTAAGCTTGACTTGGAGAGTTTGAATGAAAAAGGTGCTGGATACAATAAACAAACGGCTGAAAAATAAAAACTTGCCGCAATCTTGTACCTTTTTAGATGATAATAATTATACAGGTTATTTATCAAAATACGGTTATATTGAAATAGAAGCATGGGGAGGTGGTGAAGCAGGTCATGTAAAAAATGCAGCTCACTCTATGGAAAGTAGACCAAGAATGCCAGGAGATTATATCAAAATTCAATTAAAATTTGATCCTGAATATCCTATAATTAGAGCTCAAGCTACAGAGGGAGGTAATGGACTCACAAGTCATATATCCAATAAGGATGGTGGACCAACTTTCATAAAAATGTGCAAAGACTCTTCAGAAGCAAACTGTAAAGATTTAATTACTGTTGCAGGTGGTGGCAAATATAGGATGTACGGCGGAAAGGAGTATGAGAAGACGAAGATCCATAATAATTTAGGTAATTTAAAGATATTAGGAAATCAGACAATAGTAACAAATAATAGTTTTACTGAAGACAATCAAGTAGCATATATAAATATACAAAGGCCCAGGAAATTATAAGCAGTAGTTAACTGAATTGTACCTTTCAATATATTGAAATAGCATGCTATATCTGGAAAGCTAGGTACAGAAATATCAATTTGAATGAAATGGGCAATCAGAGATAGAATCAACATAAAGTTTTTAATTAATGGATAAAGGTAGCACATTAAAAGAGCTTAGCAAAGAATATTTTTATTATTACAAAAATGGCCCCCAAGCGGGAAAAGCTAGTGGTTTAAGAATAAGAATTAGAATACTGTGGAAAGAGTAACCATAGAAGGTGATAGTCCTGCATAAGTAGAAAGTTTTTAAATCCTCGAGTAGAGCGGGGCACGTGAAATCTTGTTTGAACATGGGGGATCATCCTCCAAGCCTAAATACTCCTTGACGACCGATAGTGAACAAGTACCGTGAGGGAAAGGTGAAAAGAACCCCGGGAGGGGAGTGAAATAGAATCTGAAATCGAGTGCTTACAAACAGTTGGAGCTTTATGTTTTTGCTATGGGAGCGATGTTGTAGCTAATTTACATTAGAGTGACACCGTACCTTTTGCATAATGGGTCAGCGAGTTAATCTACAAAGCAAGCTTAAGTCATTAGGTATAGGAATCAATCGATAAGTATTCTTTTTGATTGACCAATAGGATTGCAGATAGTTCATATCATTCAACTTCGGAACTATTGCATCGATTTGTGTGACACATGCAGAAATAGATCACATTTACCTTTCACATAAGGGATTTATAAGTTAGTGATTAATGATTCCGATAGAAATATGCGATCAATCAGATTTTAAGAGGAAAGCAACATAAAGAATGTTGAATAGCAAAGGAATAGAATCTTTTTATAAGCAAAAAATTTCAGTTTACTGACATGAGTTAATAGGCAGAAAAGGTTATTGCTGCCAAATTCAATCTTTTCAATTGAAAGAGAGCAGAATTTTAGGATATTTCAGATCTCTATTTAAATATGTAGTTGAACAATTAACTTAGTAACTCTATTTATACAAAGATATTTGTTACCAACCTGTAACTGTTCAACAGTGAAGAATAGAGGAGTATTGAAATTCTCAGGAAGCACTTTAATATATGGCTGCCAATATGAATCCGGGACTAGTTTCTGGCAACATAGCATCATTGCCAAAGCAACATTTTCCATTGAACGTATTATTATATCTCGGTCAAATGCACGTCGAAAATTTTATTGTCATGAATGAAGTTGAAAAGATATGATTAATATGAAACCAAAGTCACTTTTGAGTATCTTACAGCTTATTACTAAAAAATGAAAATCTTACAGCTTATCAATAAAAATGAAAATTTTACTTTAAGAAAGATGATCGTCGAGCATGGTCCAATGAAAAGATTGCTCTTCGAGGAACTCTTAACAAATCTGATCCAACCGTAACATAATCTGAGCTTACCAAACCAAATCCATCCACATCTTCGTCATATGCAATTTTTACAGAGCAATGAGAAATTCCAACCATATTGGCCCACTGTAGAAAATTTGCTAGAGCTGCTTTACGCCGTTCCAAATATCTACAACAAAATTAACATATTTTAAGAATTTGATATCTAAAGATATTTAAAGAGAGAAAAAACTTCAATGCATAAATATTAAATACAACTCAGCACTAGTAAATTATATGTAGAAATTAACAAATTACATATATTGAAATGTATATTGAAATATTCATTTCCTCATTTAGTCTTCACACTTTCATTTTGTAAGGAACAACTTTTTCCAAATAATAAATATCAGTAAACAAGTTCACTTGCAATTAACCTTCAAGCTTAACTAACAGAATAAGTAGGGGAATTAAGCAAATCTTCCAATCAGTGTGTAATCTCGATGCCAATTCTAAATCTAACTGAGAAAAACAACTTCATCACTAACATCTCTATTCAGATAGACGATTCATTTCAATAATTTATTATGAAACAAGAAGCATTCTAACTGCAACGAACTTACGTTAAAGCAGTTTCTGATTTTCGTGAGAAATTTTTTTGCATAGTTTCGATTTCCAGTAAGGATTCTCGAATCACCATATGCTCTCTTAGCAGTTCAACTGTATTCGAAGTAGGAGTATGACACAGTGTCATTTCCCATAATTCGCTTGCATGTCTTTGTAATTCATCCAAAAACTTTCCGTACTGCGAAATGTCAAAACTTTCATACGACGATGATCCACTGAATGACCCACTATTTGAACTCATTGCTAAACAACTTTTATGAAAGATCAATTTATTGAAGTAACATTGCCATATGAAATTTCATGAATGACTGATAAAAAAAAAAAAAAAAACTTTCATGTCAATAGGAAAATCTGTTTTAATAGGATACCTTAGGCAGTGATAAATGTCCCATTTTTCGATGTGATTTAAAAACGAAACGATAAGTGATTTAACATTTTTATTTTCAAATACATTAAAATGCATAAACCTTTTTTTTTTTCTATTTGCTAAGAAAAAAAAAAACAAATGTTAAAGTATAAAGTGATAATAAAAATAAGCCACTGTCCCTTCTCATTTCAGACTAAAGCAACAATGAAAGTAGCCAATATCATTTCACGCTTCAGACACTTAATAATAATCAAATAGTTAAGAGAAAGAAAAATGAAAGAAATACGAGTCAAAGAAGTAGAAAACCTAGAAAAGTAGAAAACAAATTACTGAAGTGGAAAATATGCTATAAAATGTTAATGAAATCTATCACATTCTTCCACTAATACATTTCTCAGTGTTTCAATAAATTCTTTAAATTAAATTAATTGACTTGAAAACTATATAACTTAAATTTGGAAATGGAAATGTTCACAAATTGAAACAAATGAATGAGTTACACTTTTTTGATGATTTAAACCATTTATTTAGTCCAACTTAACGATCAATGTTAAATAAGATCGAAATGAAAAAATAACGGTTCACTTACATTTCTCAGTGTTCGATTAATTTTGATCGTAGATTATAGAATTGCTAAACAATGAAGTTAAATGGAGTAATTATAACTCTCTCAGAGGTAGATTCTCTCTCCCTCTCTCTCTTTCCCCTTCCCTCTCTCTCTCTTTGAATTATATTAGTTAAAAAATGCTATTATGATACAATCTTAACTAATCAATATTTTGTCATCTAAAATGTCATCAAATTGATTGTTGAAAACATTATGTTGGATGATTTAATTTCTGAAAAATCATTTTTTTTATTAATGCAACCCTTTTATTTCATTGATATAATTGAGAGAGATGGAGGGAGAAAGAAAGAGAGAGAGGGAGAAAAAGAGAGAGAGAGAGAGGGAGAGAGAGAGATAATTATTCCATTTAATTTCATTGCTTATATTTGACTGAATTCATCATATTGTTATTAAATTAATATTATCAATCAAAAATTACTGAAATTTTAACAAGTAACAATTTTTTTTTTTTTTTAAATTAATATTTCTAAGAATTTTAGATGTAATATTGTTTGACTAAATAATATATATTCGAGAAAATATTTGAAATAATATATTCGAGAAGAAATGATAAAATTTTTTTGTTTTTTTTTTAAAAAAAAAAATGATGAAAGATGAAAATGATCAGTGATTTTCTGATCGATCTATTGTATGGTAAGCAAAAAATTTACTTGGAGGGAATTGATTATATGAATATTGATAAGATGATAAACATGATAAGAATAATCATTAATTTCTTTTGAGGAATTTATTTTATATTTAATTAACTATTTGAGCATGGCGTTATTGACTTAAGCAATCAGTGAAATGTAAGGAAGAATATGACAATAATATAAGGAAAATATTCATTAATTTCTTTTAAGGAATTTAATTATAATGTAAATTCTAGTATAATTAAGTAGTGTTAAATTTTTTTTTCATAAATTTTCTCTTTTTTTTTTCATTTCATAAATTTATATTTTTAAATATAAGAAACTTTTTTTTAACTTATTTTTTACTTTAAATTTTAACTTCTTTTGTACTTTAAAAAAAAAATTCTTTCAATGATTTATTAATAAAACAATAAAATCTGTTGCAAAATATTTTAGCAAATAAACTAATCGATAAGGTTAATTAAATTAATTACTTTTAATTTTATTAAAATTTTTTATATTCTTTAGGTTTCATATTCGGTTTGCATACAAATGAGAAGATGTTAAGTTATTAATAATTTATTTATTGAAAAATTTTTTCAATTATAACAAATTTTTAATTATTAATAATGAAGTCAATTAAAAATAGTATTTGAATAAATGATTGAAATTAGTCTGAATGAAATAATTATTAATTGTTGCAAAAAATTTAAAAAAAAATAATAATAAATTCATATATTAGATGAATTTTATCCTAATTATATCTGTTATTATTAAATTTTTATAATCAAATAAATTTTATTCAATGAAACGTTTTAATTTTTTATATTTTAATTTGTTTTTTTTTGCTCATTTATTTAATTCAATAAAATATTTTAATTTTTGAAAAATAATTTAATGGTAATACGAGTTGAAAGTTTAATAGCATTGATGAAAAAAAGATTTAAGAATCAGTCTGAATATTTTGCTATCAAATATTTATTTAAAATGATAGTATCAATCATTTCAATATATTCTAGTATCATACTTTTCAAATTTATCTTTTATCATTTAAAATTATCAGTGCAGCAGGATGTTTCATTTATATCATTAAAAAGTATTTTTGATAAATTACAATATCATTTGCTTTGCAATTATTAATTTTTTTTTTTTTTTGACTATCTCAAAATTTTTCAAGAAAATATAATTAATTTTGTAAATTAAATCTTTATCTTTTGAGTTAGCAATAATAGAAAACTCGATGATTTGATCAAAATTATCATATCATTTTCTGAAATTGATCATCTACTAATTAGACAAAGTGATAATCACTGATTAAATGACTATCATTAATTGTACTAATTAATGATAACCAATAATTGATCATTGATTATTTGATAATTTGAATATTCTTTGTTTTTACTTATTGTTTTTTTTTTTTTTTGTCACAATGTCACATTTAAACCATTTCGTATTTTTTTTTTTTTAATTAGAAAAATGACTATTTATTGATTATTTAATTTTCAGTATTCTTCCAAAGCATAAAAATTGAATAAAAATATTTTGCTGACAAAATTTTTTTTTTGTTTGTTTTTTTTAAATACAAACAGATTTTATTGTTAGAAAATTCAAGATTACTTAAATAATATTTTATTTTGTGCTAAAATAAATTATTCTTTGATCTTTTTATTTTGTTAAAAATTATAATTTGGAAAAAATTATTAACGAATTTTATTCATTGTACATTTATCAAAAAACTTATCAAAACATTTCTTAATAATTTCATTCTTTTTTTTCTTTTCTTTTTTACACAATTAATAATAGACTGTTTAATTTGATTTTTAAATAGCTAAGAAATGTTTGATTTAAATTTGAATGTTTGCAAAGAAACTAAGTAATTAAAATTAAATAAATAATCCTAAATGATAACATTTTTTTTTTAAAATCATTTTAATCTACTTCAATTTAGACTAATTTTGAACTTGTTTTTTTTTTTAATAAATTTTCACAAATATTTTTCACTTCTCTATATTATACATTTCTAAAAATATTTCAAATTATCATAAATTATCAAATAAAAATAAAAATTTCTTTTATAATTTCTATCAAATATCAATAAAAAAAATAATAAACAAATAAATTAGTTAATTAATTGTTAAGAATTTCTATCAATTCTATAAAATTTTCATATTGAAGAAATAATATCACTGTGTTAAGAGAAAAAAAAAGGAGAAAAATTGAATCCTACACAAATGGCAAATCATCCAAATTTGATTTTTGTTCTTTGTTTTTTGTAGAAATTAATTTTTCTGAATTATACAAAAAAATTTAAATATTATTTATAATTAAAGTGCTATCTATTAATGTTTATATTTTTATTACTACTCATGACATATTTATATATATTATCATTGAAATTTCAAAAAAAGAAAAATTAAAAATTTGTTATTTCAACAAATAAATTAGAACTTGTATTTAATATTTTAAGCTAAGTATTATTATTATTATTACTATTATTATTATTACTCTTATTATTATTACTCTTATTATTATTACTCTTATTATTATTATTAGTATTATTATTATTATTATTATTATTATTATTATTATTATTATTATTATTATTATTATTATTATTATTATTATTATTATTATTATTATTATTATTATTATTATTACTATTATTATTATTATTATTATTTTATTATTATCAATATTATTATTACTAGTAGTCATAGTTATTTATGCAACAGAAATCTATCCAAAAGCATTTAATTAGCATCAAAAAAGACTACAAAAATGCAAATACCTTTCGATATTAGTAATTCAAATGATTGATTTGCTCATTAAACTTAAAAATGTTAACAATAGACTTAAATAATAAATGATAATAACATAGATGTGAAAGGCTTTTTACGTTGTTATGGTGACAACTGCAACAGCAAATGGCTGAGAATTTATTATTGAATTCAATATTCAATTGTTACCTTTTATGTTAGCTATTTTCAGTTCTATAAAAATTAATTAAAAATTATACAAATAGAAATTAATTATCGATCATTCATCTATTTCAATTCTTATTATTGAATTCAATATTCAATTGTTACCTTTTATGTTAGCTATTTTCAGTTCTATAAAAATTAATTAAAAATTATAAACAAATAGAAATTAATTATCGATCATTCATCTATTTCAATTCTATTTTCATTTTCTTTTTTATCATTATCAACTATATTGTAATTTGAACAATACTATACAAATTATCCAAAATATATTTCATCAAATATCTTTGAAAAAAAAAAGAAGAAAAAAAAAATATTAAAAATATTATTCATTGTTCATTTGCATAAATATATGATAAAAAATTCTGAAAATTATTATCATTATTATATCTCATTAATATCACATAAATTATTAAAAATAAATATAAAATAAATATAATAAAATTTTTTTAAAAGTATTCTCTTACAATTATTTTTAATCATAATTTGTTGTATTTTACTATCTCATTTTCAAAATTTTTAAATTATTAATTTGAATTAAAAAAAAAAAATAAAAAAAAGAAGAAAGTAGGATATTTTCAATTTCAGTACTCAAATTTTTATTTTATATTTCATACTAATAAGACAAAATTTATTTGTCTATCTATGCTATCCATCTGATTCGATATTTTTTTTTTGCTTCAAATTTCAAATTTCAATTTCAATTCTGTGATGTTTACCGATTCACCGCCAACTATTAGAAATGAATGTTATACAACAACTGCAATAATATGCACATTTTTTGCATGTCTGTGTATTTTTCTACTGATTTTTGCACTCTTTTATTTAGCATATTTTAAACCATTTTTTAACGATCATAAATATTGCATAAAACAACAAAAACAACAACAACAACAGAATGGTTAGTTTTTTTAATTTTAAATATTTTTTTTTTAATCTTTTTGTAAATCAAAAATTATTTCAAAAATCATTGCTAATGAAGACAAATATAATAATAAAATCATTTTCATCTTAAACAAATGGATTAAAATTAAATTAATAGGATTAAATTTAAAAATATTTCATAGTTTACATTTTATTTATTTATTTATTCATTTTTTGTTTGCAGTTATTTCAAGAATAAAATTAATTCCATTACATTCATCATTATATTAATAAAATTTTTGGATTAATTAATCTTTGAAGAAAAAAAAAAGAAAAAAATTTCTTTTTTTCACTTTTATTAGAACTAATCGAATAATATATTAAAAGATGCTAAGAATTTTGTTGGATTATTTTAATTATTCAAAAATTTAATTACAAAACATTTGAAGAATGCATTCAAATTTTTAAACTTTAATCGATCTATTAAAATTGATAAATGTTGGTTTTTGTTTTAAAACCAAAAAAAAAAAAAGATGAAAGTTTTGAAGATGAAAAATTCATTTTTAGAAAATGAACAGCAAATATCGGCAATAACACTTCTCGAACAATACGATACCCAAGTAATAACTTATACTTTCTATAAGTTTTTTTTTTTTTTTTTCATTGAAATAACGGAATATTAATTATATCTATTAATAGAATGAAATTTTTATTTAAAAATTTGTAATTGTATAAAATTTGACGGATTATTCTTAACTGTAAGTTTTAGCTAAAGTTTTTTCTTTTTTTTTTTTTTTTTTGATTTAACATAATTTTTCTATTTAAATAATGAATAAGTATTTAAATCACTATTGATGATAATATCAATTTGTATTACATAATAATATTACAGTTCCGTTTTTTTTTTTAATTTCAGAACACATATCCAAAATATATTTGCGATATGCAAATGTCACCTAAAGAATGTTGTAAACAACAAAATTGTAAACAAAGTTATATAAAGCATCGTGAATATAGACGACGTCGAAAGAAACGTCAACCAATTTCACTTTCAACAATTAATGAGAATTATGTCACAGATTCTTTTCCAAGTAATTTTTTTTTTTTTTTTCTCACATATTGTAAATATTGCGTAAACATTTTTACGTCGATTTTTTTTTTTTTTGTTTATTCATGTTTGTTTATTGTTTTTTTTTTTTTCAAATTGAATTTATTATTTCCTTTTTATCGCTATTTATTATTTTCATCTGCTTGTTTATTTACTTGTCTAATTAAAAGAAACAAATATATTTTCAAATTATACTATTTAAAAACTTTTGTAATATTTACAATAATTCTTCATAACTATTAATAAATTTCATTGTTATTCTTATTCCTTTTTTTAATTTTTACTAATATTAAAACAAAAAAAAAAGTTTTCTTTTCATTTTCAGAATCAACCATAATCGATGATAAATGGATTGTTGGAAATGAAATGTACGCTTACAATAATCGAATATTTAATAATTGCAAATGTCGAAATTGTACATTTAGTAAAATTATGAATAGTAATGCTAAAACATTAAGGCAACCAGTGTTACCTGAATGTCATAGTACACCTGTATAATAGTTTTATATACTTAGTAAAATTATGAATAGTAATGCTAAAACATTAAGGCAATCAGTGTTACCTGAATGTCATAGTACACCTGTATAATAGTTTTATATACTTAGTAAAATTATGAATAGTAATGCTAAAACATTAAGGCAACCAGTGTTACCTGAATGTCATAGTACACCTGTATAATAGTTTTATATACTTAGTAAAATTATGAATAGTAATGCTAAAACATTAAGGCAATCAGTGTTACCTGAATGTCATAGTACACCTGTATAATAGTTTTATATACTTAGTAAAATTATGAATAGTAATGCTAAAACATTAAGGCAATCAGTGTTACCTGAATGTCATAGTACACCTGTATAATAGTTTTATAATTGTTTAATTTTTTTAAAAAATATTTATGTTAACTGTTATTAATATGAATGATATAATAACAAGAATTTCAATTGCTAAATGAATTTTATAAATTTTTTAAATGAATTAATCTGTTATTTATGTTTTCTATCTTTTTTTCTTCTTTACAAATTTTCAATAAATTTGAAAAATTCAACAAATTGTCAATTTTCAAAATAAACAATACCTTATGTTAATATCCAATAGAAGAAAAGAAAAAATAATTTGAAGATGAAAAAGAATCGAAAAAAAAAAGAAAAATTTGTCATTTTTAAAAATGAAATAAAATATTTTATCATATTTTATGCTTTTATATTGGTATCTGCCGAATGATCATAATATTATCTCATATGCATTGCTGAATTCTTTTAAATTAATTAAATCATTTATAACATCTAATAATATCTGTTCAAATTTTGAATTAGAATTTAATCTAATATTATTAGATTAGATATGAAAATTAGAAAATTTATTCAATAGATCAAAAACTTTTTACAAAAAATAAAAATTTTAATAAAATTAAAATTGAAATGATGCTGTAAATATTTGCTCTTTTTGCTATTGGAATAATTTAGTTTAATAAAAATTTCAAAAAAAAAAAAAAAAGGCTAATTTTTATTCGAATTAAATTTTTTATAATTAAAATTATACATTTGAGCAAATAAAAATTTCATTTAATGTTTTTTCTTTTTTTCTCTCTTTCATTAAATTATAAATAATGTGAAAATTTTTTTTTTTTTTAATAAAACAATAAAATTTGCTGTTTAGTTTAATCTTTTCCTTTAATATTTATCATTTCATTGATAATCAATAGCAAATTATTCCACTTATAACTACAAGCATCAAATATTGAAATGTTTTTTTAACACTTTAAATTTTGTTGGCAATATTGTAATTCTTTTTTTTTTCAAAATTCTTAAATTATTTCTAATTTTCAGAATTTATAATAATATTTTCTAGGAGAAAAAAGAATTTTCTCTTTTTTTTTTTTAGTTTTATAAATGCAAACATTTGAAAAATATGATATGAATCAACAATGTATTTATGATTCAATCTAAGAATAAATAATAAAATTTTTCTGCCATAAAAATATTATTGTCACATCAAAAAAAAAGTTAAATGTAGCAGTTTTATTCTATAATCATTTTAAAGTATTTCTTCAATAAAATTAAACTTTATTCATTTTTCAAATATTTCATTCATATTTTATAAAAAAATTTCAAGTATTATTGAATAATAATAAGATTAATAGTTACAAATATTTGCATAATTAATGCCTAAATTTTAAATTTGATAAAAAAAAAGGAAAAAAAGAAAAGAAAATTGAGAGTTATATTTTTTTTATTCTTGATTAATAATGTAGCAAATTAAATTTTTGAAATTTTTATTAATGAATATTGATTATTTGTTATAGCAAAAAAAAAAAAATTTGATCAATTAATTTTGTCATTGTTAAACCATTCAAAATAACAAACAATCATTGAAAGCACATTTTAATTTAAAATGCTAACAATCATATGCTAATAAATTTGCTTGTTTTTTCTTTTTTTCTTTTTTTGTTAGATTAGTAATACTCAAAAATGCAAATAATGAGAATATTAACAAACAATGAAATATTTAAAAATGAAATAAATAAAAATTAATACTTTATGATAATTTCAAGTATATAATTTATTATGCATAAACTTTCAATAATTTAAAAAAATTCAAATTAAGTTATTAGGTAAGAAATAAGAATAAAAGCTGTTATATAAATATTTTTTGAAAATGGAAAGTAAATTTTTCGATTTGCTTACGAAATTATTTTTAACATTAATTAATTATTGATGAAATTTAAAAAATTTTCATCAATTTTGTCATTTTTTTTTTACAATTTGATAATTTCTTTTAGCAATTGTAATAAAAAAAAAAAGAAAAACGAATTAATTTGAAATCTATTTTAGATATGTAAATTCATTTATATGACAATAATTATTTACAACTTTACTTTGGCTAATCATAAAATTTTAAATTCTTTTTTGTTTTTTTAAAAAGAAAAACGTTTGGATAAATTTCTATTTAATAGTTAATTAAGTTATTTTTTTGAAATTTTAGGTATGTAAAATTCATTTATAGAATAAATTTGAAATTTATTTTAGGTATGTAAATTCATTTATATGAGAATTATTATTTATAACTTTACTTTGGCTAATCATAAAATTTTAAATTCTTTTTTGTTTTTTTAAAAAGAAAAACGTTTGGATAAATTTCTATTTAATAGCTAATTAATTTAATTAAAATAATTATTAAAATATTTTAAGGATAAGTGCAATATATATATAAGTGATGAATGAATATTTCAATCAAATATCAGAAGGAAATAACTCAAAAGTTAATATAATAATAAATCGAAATGATGTACAGAATAAGGAAGAAATGATTAAATTGTGCGCAAAAAATGGCGCAATGATGCGACGAGTGAAACGCGGAAAAATTGGACAAGCAAAATTGATATTTCTTGTTAATGAGAATAAACAACTTCGATATCATACACTTGGCTATTCGAGAATTATTTCATCAAAACAAAAAACAGGTATGTTAAAATTTCAGGTTAATAAATGAATATAATATGAGAATTAAAATTATTATGAATAGCTTAAGAAATTTCATATATGAAATTTTTATCAGTTTGAATTGAATTTTATTTCAAAATAATCTAATGAACAATAATTGTGTGATAATTTAATCAGATATTACTAAAATAATTAATAAATAATATTATTATACAATTGAATGCTTTTAGTAATTTTAGTTTTAATAATATTTTAATTTTGATTTTTTTTGGAAATTCTTTTTGATAAATACAAATATCTTTTTTTTTTTGTAATCCAGCAATTAATTCTAATTACAGTAAAAATTGATCAATTAATTGAGATACGTCATGGATTTGGTACTGATCAGTTGCAAAAAGCAGCAAAGAAAATATCATTTCAACAAATTGCACCTGTAATTTTAATATTAATTTACCTTTCTCTTTCTTCTTTTCTCTCTCTCTCTCTCTCTCTCTCTCTCTCTTTCTTCATTTCATTAAAATATTAAAGAATAAATTTTGTTAATGTCAAAAATTATTTAACAAAGAAATTTCATTAAAAATTTTTTTTTATTAATTTAATGCTTTTTTTATAGGAAGAAAATTGTGTTTCGTTGATCGTTCGACAAAATGGAAAAAATAAGCAAAAGACAATCGATTTTATTGCTGCAACTTTAAGTGATAAAAGAATATTTGTGGATGCTTTACAGTATATTATTGATAAGGAAGATGCTAAATTGATTGATTTTAATGAGAAACAATGGATCATTGATAAGTTTCATGCATTGGATACTAATCAAACAGGTATGATCGTAAGATAATATTGATTATTGAACAGGTATGATCGTAAGATAATATTGATTATTGAACAGGTATGATCGTAAGATAATATTGATTATTGAACAGGTATGATCGTAAGATAATATTGATTATTGAACAGGTATGATCGTAAGATAATATTGATTATTGAACAGGTATGATCGTAAGATAATATTGATTATTGAACAGGTATGATCGTAAGATAATATTGATTATTGAACAGGTATGATCGTAAGATAATATTGATTATTGAACAGGTATGATCGTAAGATAATATTGATTATTGAACAGGTATGATCGTAAGATAATATTGATTAGTCCTTTTAATTGAACAGATATGATTACATATTGATAAAACGATTAATCTCTTTCTTCAAATTTTCTTTTTCAAACAATTAAAATAAATAAATAATTTTTTTTGTATGGCTTGTATGATTTGATTCATAATATTATCATCTTTTGATAATATGATAAGATGACTTGATGATAATAATTGTCATTTTTAAATACAACACATTTTGATATGCTAAAAAATTTAGGTAAATTAAGCTTTAACAAAATTTGGAATCTTTTGAAAGAAATGAATTTGACAATTAGCTATGATTATGCAAAAGCGTTATTTCAGGTAAGTCAATTTTTTTTTTAAAATTTTAGTTAATAATATTGTATATATTAATAATTAAATTATTTGGTATAAAATAAAAAAAAAAAGAAACAAAGTAGAATATTGTTTAATGAATTTATTAAAATCAAAAAAAAAAAATGAAATGATTGAAATAAAAATTAAATATTTTTTAAAACACTTTTTTTACTACAAAAAGCTATTTAAACACAAATATTTTCGTATTATTTCATTAAATATTATTTTCTTTAATTTCTAAACTTTTTTTTAATTTAATTTTTTTTTTCTAAAATTTATCGTAATGCTATGAAAATATCTATAAAAATATTTTTAGAATGAAAGTATTGATGAATATAATTATGATTCAAAATTGAATGCTTGCATCGATGTGGAAGGTTTTGTGAGATTTTTCTTCAAATTAACTTATGATTTTGAAGAAAGTAAAATTATGCGTCAATATAGCTCACAAAATGATGGAAATCTATCAGTGAATGATTTAAAGAATTTCTTAATCAATGTACAAAAGGTCATATGTCAAATGTTTTTTATAATAATTTCCATTTTATTAAATGCATTTACAATTTTAAATTAACTGTAAAACTATTATAATGTATTAAATTTTAAAATTCATTAATTTCTATCAAGTTACACATATTTTTTTTCGATTAATTTTATTTAATTAGCAATATTAATACTAAAAATGCTAACTAATGATAAGAAAGAAAGGAAAAAAAAAACAGAAACAATATTTTATAAATAAAAATTTCAGTTTGAAAATATTGATAACAATATCGCAGCTTCGATCATAAATGAAATTGCCATGAAGTTAGGCATTTATCAAATTGAGAAACGTACGAATTTATTAGGACCATTTGGTAAAAAAATTAAATTATTTATGATTTGTATGATAAATTTGAAATAAATTATAAGTAGAAATTATTTTTATTTTCATTGTTAAAAAAGATTCAATTTACAATAATTCATCACTTTAAGTATTTAAGTATTTGAGTAATTTTAATCTAAATATATTCTAATTTGCAGGTTTTCGTACTTTATTACGTTCACGTTTGGGTAACATTATGAAATATGGACATGAAAATATTTTTCAAAATATGGATCAACCATTATCACATTACTTTATTAATTCAAGTCATAATACTTACTTAATTGGTAATCAGGTAAAAGGTGAAGCAACTGTTGAAGGATATATTAATGCTATTCGAAAAGGAGCTCGATTACTTGAGTGTAAATTTTATTTCATATATTTTATCACTTTCTTATCATAAGCTAAAAATGATAATGATTAATTGATCAATGACAAATGTAATTATTTGATTAGCTAATGAATAAAATTGAAAACATTATGAAAAAAAAAATTATTCTTTGATAAGCTAAATTAACATAATAAAAAATAAATTTATACTCAAAGTAAATAATTTAGTAATTATAAGAAGTAAGTAATTAGTAATCAAATATTATTAATGTAAACATATTTTACTATATATAATCAGATTATGTGATAGTAAAGTAATTATTAACAAAGATATATGTTATAAAATGACGTATTTAGTAGACGTTTTTGACGGAAATGACGGAGAGCCGTGTATCAGACATCGTGGTACACTGATATCATCGATATATTTGAAGGATGCTCTAATGGCAATTCGTAATTATGCATTCAAATATACACCATTTCCACTTATTTTAACAATTGAAAATCATTGTAGTTTAGAGCAACAACGTGTTATGGCTAAAAATTTTATTGAGGTTTTTTACATTTAAATTAAAATAATTATATTTGTTTTATAAATTTATTAAATTTAAATTTAATTTTTACTAATATTTAATTGCAATTTCATTTTAATTAATTAATTAATTAATTTTTTTTTAAGATTCTTGGTAACAGTATTTATTTGACACCTAAAAATAAACCTTTAATACAATTACCATCACCTAATCAACTCAAATACAAATATCTTTTACGTGGAAAAGTACGATCAATTACATATAAACGATATGCAAATGATAAATGTGATGAGGATGATGAAGTAGCCGGATCAGTATTACTTATAGATCCGGAATTATCAAGATTAATATCAGTTTTTCAAGTTAAACTATCGAATAATTTGCAAGATGATATTGAAAAACGTACGTCTTCTAGACTTCTAATTAAATTTTTGGGATTTCATTCGATCTTAATTTAATTAATTGTGATGAAAATAGATGAAGAAATTTGAAGGTTAAATTATATAATAATAATTTTAAAATTTATAATTATTGATGTTAAATATTAATTCTAAGTTAGAAGAATTGAGTATTATTTTTGAAAAAGTTAATTGGTACCAAGGATCAATTTTTCATCATCAAAATAGTTCAAATATCAAAAAGAAAAACAAAAAAGAGAAGAAAAGGATTTCTACATTATCAAATTTAATTTTCAATTAAAAATTAAACTACTATGCTTAAGTTAATAATCTCTCGTAATACCAACACTATTAGCATTGAGCGGTATTGTCACACCTACAACATGGGCGATGTTGTCGCTTTTTAATAACAAAAATTTAATGCTATTGTTCAACTTAAATTAATTTAAAATTTTTCTCCACAAGACAGAACTAGCAGGAGTAGTAGAGAGAAGGTGAAAAGAATAAGTATTTATTGATCAACCTGTTTTCATCTCTATCACAATTTATAGATCCGGCAAATTGTTCAGTGTATCATAATTTATAGATCCGGCAAATTGTTCAATGTATCATAATTTATAGGTCCGGCAAATTGTTCAGTGTATCATAATTTACAGATCCGGCAAATTGTTCAGTGTCAATATCGGAAACAAAAATAGGAAAACTGATGGAAATTAGTGAATCATTTGCTGCTTACAGTGCAAAACATTTTGTTAAATCATATCCGAAAGGTTTACGACAAAATTCGAGCAATTTTTGTCCAATGCAATCATGGATTTATGGTATACAATCAGTTTCACTTAATATGCAAACAAATGGTAAAGATATGGATGTTAATTCAGGATTATTTCGAATAAATGGAAATTGTGGTTATGTCCTGAAACCATCTAGTTTAATTAAAGGTTTAGGTGAGTTATATTAATTTAACAAAAAATAAAAAATAGATAAAACAAAAAAAAAATGGTAAAATTATTGCGATATTATTAATCGATTTGATTAAGTAATAAAAAATATTTTTTTTGTTAATTTCCTATCAAAATATTGGCGCAAATTGACAATGTTATGACATTTTTTTCTTGAAGCAGAAAATGCATTAATCAATTGATTGATTGATCAAAAATTTTGATCACTTAAACAAGAAGAAAAAAAAAAAAGATTTCTATATTTTACATATTTTTACTTGATTACTTTCATATCATTCAATTTATATTATCAAATATATTTTCTTGTATTTAGTGATTTTCATTCTCAGTGCCAAATTTTAGATCTTTCGAGATTTTCCAATACAATCAAAGTGATTATGAATCTTTCGGTATATCTTTCCTTTTTTTCCTTTTTTTTTTTCTCAACAAAAATAAACTTTTATGTATTTAATTGAATCATAGAATTATTTATAGCTTATGCATAATTATCGTTAAAATTTAGATTTTCGAAATGAATTCACATCCTGCAAAAGTTTAATACATTACTAAAAAATTGAACTCATTAAATTTAATTTGATTATGAATTTAATTAAATAACAAAAATTGAAAACTTACGAAAACACAAAAAAAAAGTTAGTGATAATTTTAAGGTGATAAGTGGTGAATATTTACCAAAGCCATTTTCAAAAGAAGGTGAAATTATTGATCCATATGTTGTGGTGGAAATTCTTGGTGTACCAGCTGATTGTAATAAATTTCAAACAAAAATTATCAATAATAATGGGTAAAAATTAATTGATTAAAAACAAATTTTTGTTTTTTTTTTTATATTTTTTAAATTTTTTCTTATACAAATGGTTAATGATTATTGTTTTAAGCAAATTGATTTTAAAAAAAATAAAAAATTTAATTTTAATAGAATTAATTTCATTCACAGTAATTATTGTATTGTTTAATTAAAGATTTCAACCAGTTTGGAAGGATTATTTCAAAATTGAATTACATTGTCCAGAAATAGCAATGCTTCGATTATGTGTCAAAGATTATGATAAAGTTTCCATGGATGATTTTATTGGAGAATTTAGCATTCCAGTAAATAGCATTCGACAAGGTTTATTATTGTTGTCAATATAATTTATAAAAATATTTAAGCATTTTTTTTTAATTAGAAAGAAAAAGAAACTTTTTAATTTGTTTTATTCTCTTTTTTTTTTTTTTTTGAAATTCAAAACATAAATTCTTTTGTTGACTTAATTTTAAAAATTATAAATAATCATAATTCTCCAATCAATTCGTGTGTTCTTGTTTTTTTTGGTAGTTTCACAAAAATTGTTTAATTAGCTAGATTAATTGTTATCACTTATCATTACTTTCATTTACCTTATCATATATTTCTTTTAATTTCAGGTTATCATTACTTATCATTTACCTTATCATATATTTCTTTTAATTTCAGGTTATTCACTTGTCAATCTTTTTACTGGCTGCGATCGAATTTCTAATTCACTTGCTGCTATACTTATACATGTTGATTTTATTGATGCAAATGTTGAACGAACACATTTATGAAAGAAAACTTTATTATGAATTTCAATACTACCAGTAGTTAAAATAAAATTAATAGAAAATTTTGAATTAAATTGCATTAGAAATTGAAATAGTAGTGGAATTAAGTAAATTGAAATATAAAATTTCTGATACAATCATTTTCAATGGGCGCAATATCATAATAATGCGCCATTTTATTCAATATATTTTGTTATTTATAATATTTTCATTTAATTAGTAATGAAAATAATTTCATTTTCACTATTTGGCATATTTTAAACAATTTTTATAAAATGTTGTTTAATGGAAATTACATTAATGGAAAATGATTAACGAATAAGTTTTGTTTATTTTCCTTCTCAAATAAAGCTTTATTTTACAACTGAAATTGATTGAACTGGAATATTTTATTGACAATTTTGTTTGATAATAGATTTTAATTTTTAATGGATAGCTCTGTTCAAATTATATCTTATTTTCTTAACATTAAAAATTTGAGAGAAATTTAAATTGAGCTTAATAATTGTTTCTTAAAGTTATGCATTATTTTACTTTTAAATTATTTCAATCATTTTTTGTATTCGATTCAAAAATAATACATTTACAATCTTTAATCTCATTTTTAGTAGTATGAATCAAAAATATGCATATATGAAATGATAAGATGAGATGAAAATGCAAGAATTGTGAATAATAAAGAGCAAAATATGCTTTTACATGTGAATATGATAGCGTTCTGGCGCTATTGGACGAGAAATTTAGCGCCCATTTGTTCATTTCCTACATTTTTTGCTTTTGCTAGAAGCAAATCTATTGAAAAATATTTTTTGAAGTGTAATAGAAGAAAGAAAAAGCCTTTCTAACACAAAATTTGTCGTTAAAATTTTTGCCTACGAATGTTTTTTTTTTCTTTTTTTTTTTGTTCGTATAATTCATTTCTTAGAATTATTTTTTAAATTATAAAATTGAAATATTGAAATGATTGAATGTGGTGGATTTTATTGAAAATATTGAAGAAATAATATGATGCAAAAAGTTTTAGTGAAATAGATGAGAGGGAAAGAATTTTTCAAAAAATTTCTAGATTTTTTATAAAAAAAAAAAAAAAATAAAACTGATTGTAATGATAGATAGATATATGCAAAGAAAAAGAAAGAGAGAGAGAGAGAAAAAAAATGTTAGAAAAATATTATTGAGAAAGCGAAAAGGGGGAGGGGAAAAAAGTTAAATCTAAGCTTTAAAGTTTATACTTTTGATTTTGCTTGCAGTGAAGCAGCATTCTATTCCAATAACTAAAAGAATTTATCATAAAATTTAAACAAAAAAAAAGAAAATTGTACAATTGCACTGTCTGTTATCTATGACTCTTTCATTTTACTTTTATTTTTCTCATTCTAATCCTTCGTTTATTTTAGTGAAATTAGTAAGTAGTAGTTTAGTTGAATGTTTGAAATGTTAAAAATAAGCATAGAATCGAACCACCTGACATTTCTGTTATCTGCTTAACTACAAATGTTGTTATACTAAAGAGAGAGAGAGAGAGAGAGAGAGAGAGAGAATTAAATGAAAGATAGATCGATCGATTGATTGATAGATAGATAGATAGAATGAGGCGGAGATGTGCTATCATAGTAAAATAATATCTCAAACTTTTGAAACGAACAATTTGTGCTTAGTTATACATAGACAAGTAGTAGTAATACATAAGAATAAATAAAAAAATCTATCGTTTAACTATGTTCTAAGCTAACTTAGCTCTATCACAACTAGAATGCTTCTATTTCTTTATCTAATTCTTCTCAAAAGTTATTTAGCATTTTAGCTAACTCTAAATTACTCTAAAACTCATTAATTCATTTCATTTCATTTCATATCGCATACTTATCGTTCATCAACAATTCTCTTCAATTGTATACATCAAAATAAGAAATGCCTTCACAAGCTGGTAAATTTTTATTTTTATTAATTTAAATTTTTCATTTTTAATTAAAATTTTTCACTTTTTCAATTTTTATTTTTTTTTCTAATTTAAATTTTATTGGATTATTTTGATTATTAATTTTTAATAAAATAATGATAATTTTCTATTATAGTTAATTTGAGAGAGAGAGAGAGAAAAAAAAAAGCCAAAAGAGTAAAATAATAAAGTAACATTTGACTAATCAATTCAAATGATAATGAATATCGTTTTATAGAATATTTCTAACTAGGATATTTGATATAAATAAAGAGAAATAGTATAAAGGAAAAATTTAGAATTATTGAAATCATTAAAACAAATATTACTGTCGTCGATAAGTTCTACCATAAGTAAGTAATGCAATTTATTGTGTGTTACAAATACATAAAATTATATGATTGATCAATAAAATGAATTACAATAATATAAGCGAAAATTTTATTATCTACAGTAATCCTATATAATGATAATTTACTTATGAAATTTGTGATAATTATTTGAAAAGTAATAGAATCATTTGTATAAAATGTTAGCAAATTGATAACGCTAACTACTTGATAACAATAAAACTTTTGATAACAAAAATTGATAATGCTAACTACTTGATAACAATAAAACTTTTGATAACAAAAATTGATAATGCTAACTACTTGATAACAATAAAACCTTTGATAACAAAAATTGACAATGCTAATTACTTGATAACAATAAAACTTTTGATAACGAAAATTGATAATGCCAACTACTTGATAACAATAAAACCTTTGATAACAAAAATTGATAATGCTAATTACTTGATAACAATAAAACTATAAATAACTCGATAAGTTCGTAAGATACAGTATAAAACTGTGACATACAGTATACTGCATTAATAAGCATGATACAGTATACTTTGAGAAGATATTCGTTGATAATTTTGTTTAAACTAAAATTGTCATAATTTTGCTCAATTATTTGATGAATTTTATATAAAGTAATAGGTAATCGATATTTACAACTGTAATCTTTACTTAATCATAAAATTTGCTACCGTAAAAAAAATGAGAAAAGAAATAATCAAATTTTTACTTTGATACTTTGCAAAATTATATATATATATAATATCAAAAAATGATTTTTCATTGTCAATGTAGCCCCCTGTAGGCCATTGACGGATGGCTTGTACCACCTTGTTTATTAATTTGTAAATTAGTGATTTTTATTAAATAACATAATAAAATTAAATTTTATACCATTTCCGCTTAACTTTATAAGCTTCGTAAAACTAAAGAATATTTATGATAAAAAAAGAAAAAGTTTAATCGATTCATAATTTTACAAAAAACAATTTTCCTTCCTTCTAAATTAGAATTTCGCGAGTAGATTTTATAAAAAATTAAATTTTATTTTAGTATTTAATAAAAAAAAAAGGAAAAAATTCCAATTTTTAGATCATAAATTTCATTTAATATTTAATCCATGCAACATTATCATTATTAGCAATTCTTCTATTTTCTATCATATTCCTAAATTCATTAACCCATTTTTTTTTCGCTTCATTTCTATTAATTTATGCTAATGTAGTTTGAAATAATGAAAGATAGTTTGTAAAAATTTAATTATGTATTAAAATTTTAAACAAAGGTTTTTACTTTTACTAATTTATTATTTCCAAAATTATTCTGAAACTGAATGACAAATCCTAAAAGAAACTTAAGACGAATGTTTACTCTTATTGTTTTACTTTAAATACAGCTGGTGCTGTTTATTTAACCTGATGAGAGATACCGGTATGCACTTATATCCGGAAATCTAAAAAATATCAAAGTTTTCAGATTTTGTTAAGCTATTAATTGATGAATTTTTTTTTTTTTATTCAAAAATTTCATCCTTTCTATTCATTTCAATTTCTTATTTGAAGTAAAATATAAAATATGATTATAAAAATATAAACAATTTAATTTTTGATAAAAGTGAACAGCTAGTCATCCAGTAGCTATAAAATTCGAAATATTGATGTGATATAAATTACAACAATAATTCTATAAAGAATTCAAAAATTCATATTAAACATATTTTTAAATTGTTAAATTATTTTATCACATTTTAACTTGCATTAGCTATTTCTTCTATGATTATTTTATAGGTTATTACTTTTTTTTTCAACTAATACTGTATTCTAAGAAATTACTAATGCATTCTGGACAATGGTCATTTATCATTTCATAAATTATTCCGAATATTTTTGAAATATGAAATTGTATGCTTGAAAAAGAAATTGATTACTCAATTAGATTCATATTTATTAGTAAAAATTATTATAATCAATGGGACAAATTGCTATTCCAATAGGTATAAGAAATATTAAGAATCGAAATTAATCAATTATATCTATTTAAATTAAAAAATTACAGATGAATTTCAGTATCAGATAGATAAAATTGATATTTTTGCATTTCTTTCTATTATTTAATACAATAATTTTATATCCTCTTTACTAGATTTATTATTATTATATATTTCGGTAAATACATTTCCGATATTTAAAAAATAACGGATGATTTTTATTTCTGATTTGGAAAAAACGATTGATTTTTTTATTTCCGTTTTTATTTCAATTTTATTTATTTTTTTATCTATTTTTTCTTTATCATTACATATAATTTAGCATATTTTACACATTTAATCTCTATTGAATTGTAATTATTTTAAGTTTTCAATTTATGTTAGAATTTTTTTTCGAGAACTTTTCAATTTTTTAATGAATATTTTACTAATTTATTTTCAAATAATATATTTTCCTCATCAAATATCATAAATATTTGTTTGCATGATTTAAAGCAACAAAAGCATTCTTAGATTTCCGATATTTATCAAAAAAAAGAAAAAAAAAAAAAAAAAAACGAGTCAATATTTCAAATAATAATAAGTTCAAGAGAGGGAAAAGGAGAGGGAGAGAGAGAGAGAGAGAAAAAAAACACTAACAAATTATTGTGTTTTATTTTAAATAATTAATGAATTAATTTATAATTAATGATAAAGTTTAATTGAAGTTTTAATTGAATATCTGAAAGGAAACATTTATACTGGAAAATAATTATCAAATATTAAAGTTATCGGTTTTTTTTTTTAATTTTTCATTTCAAATTCAATTCATTAAAAAAAAAAAAAAAAGTGTTAGCAATAAAATTAGTAGTAATTATAGAATTAAAAGAGATATTTCTCTTATATGACGAAGAATTGGATGGTAAAATTGATGGTACACAAATTGGTGATGTTGTCCGAGCTGCTGGTCTTAAGCCAACAAATGCTATGGTTGTCAAAGCAAGTGGAACTGAATATAAACGAAAAGGTGAAAAACGTTTGACATTCGAAGAATGGATGCCAATTTATGAACAATTAAGCAAAGAAAAGGTTTTCATTTTTTTTATTTGTTTTTTTAAAAAAAAAAAAAAATTGTTGTTTACTTAAACTTTTCCAATCTTTTTAAATTTGCATTCGTACACATTTATTGAAATATTATAACATTCATTATTCATAGATACAGTAATTTAGAAATTAAATTGTTGCAATAGCATTTAGTTTCAAAAATTTCAATTTTTTAATTTATAAATTAGAAATTATTTTATTTCAGATATGTTAAATTGTTTGTTATGATTAATTAGTGATCATTGTAAAAAAAAATTTCAATTTTTTAATTTTTAAATTAGAAATTATTTTATTTCAGATATGTTAAATTGTTAGTTAGTGATCATTGTAAAAAAAAAAAAAAAAATTACTCACAATTCCATTTGATAGTTTAATTATTTTTTTAGAAATTTTTTTTTTTTTTTTAGGAACAAGGAACGTTCCAGGATTTTGTCGAAGGATTGAAAGTTTTTGATAAAGAAGAATCAGGAAAGGTATTGTGTTTTTTTTTTTTTAATTTTATTTTCTAAATTTTTGATCTTTTTTTTTTGGATTAAAATTTGTTAGAGTGTTATAAAAAAAAAAAATTTCTTGAGATTTCTATTAACTTAAATTAATAAACAAATTAATAAAGAAAAAAATAATTTAACTTATAATTAATGATAAATTTTATATGTAAAATTAAGAATGCATATAAATTAACAGAAAATTTATAGATGAAAAAATAATAATTAAAAAAAAATCATTAATCCAAGGAATGGTTGCTTATGAAGGTATTAATTAATTAATTAATCAACTTAATTAGCTTTAAATTTAAGTAATTGATTATCATTTTACAGATTATGGCAGCAGAATTAAGGCATGTACTGATGGCTTTAGGTGAGCGTTTGTCAGCTGAAGAAGCAGATGAAATAATGAAAGGTACGGAAGATGCAGAAGGAATGGTTGCTTATGAAGGTATTAATTAATTAATTAATTAATCAACTTAATTAGCTTTAAATTTAAGTAATTGATTATCATTCATTTAATTAATTGATATTGAAATAAATAATGATGATGAATATTCATTTTAGCATTCGTCAAGAAGGTACTAGCTGGACCATTTCCGGATGACTAAAGATACTAGCTGGACCATTTCCGGATGACTGAATGAATGATCAATGCAATGCAATTACAGCAAACAGAAGAAATATTAATTCTTCAATTTTTCTTTTAAAAATTTCTTCTTGAATTGAATGAAATTACAAAAAAAAGTTGTTGCAATAGCGGAATGGAATTAAAAGTATGTTTAGAAATTGAAAAGTTTAAAAAATTTTAAGTACTGAAGGAAAAAAAAAAAAGAAATTTATTGATAAATTCTTTTTGCATGAAGAAATTTAATTGATATATTTAGATTATTATTTTTAACTCTATCATTATCATATGTCTCATAGTATTGCTAAATCTATAAGTTATGCTCAATTTAGCTAAATATTTTTATCTTCTTGTAGCACAAAGAATATTTAAGAAATAAAAAATAAAACTTTTATGCATTTAATATATTACAGCATTGTCTATTGCTTTGTGATCAAATATAGTAAATTGTTTCGGTGTTTTTTTTTTTTTTTTATTTCTTCTTTTTTGTTCGATAAAATTTGGCTAAATATTTTTGAAAGTTGAAATATTAATATAAGTTAATAGTATTTGAACATATTTGTTCATAATATTCTCATATGCTTATATATTTTTTTTTTTCTTCGCCGCAATATAGCAACAATATGCTACATTACATTATTATTCAGAACACACAAATAAAATGGAATATTTATTCCATTTTATATTTTTTTTATTGGTAGAATTTTGACTAGCTGAATTTAAAAGTGAAATAATATAATTAATAATTAAAGCAGTGCAAATAATTTAACGATTTTTAAGGCTATCCAATTAGAATCGTGTATTGAATAATAGCACATCAGCATTTTAGTGATGTGATAAGAGAGAATAAATGAAAAAGCACAACTAAATCTTTTATAATTCGAGTGCTTGTTTCTTTTAGATAGATCAAGACTATTAGCAAAGTTATCTTCAAACATACGAAACACAAATTCAAGCTTAAAGTTATTCAGCTATAAAGTGATTTAATGATTTACTAAAGATTAATTGTGAAGTGGACAGTACCTATTCATTAAATAAAAAGCAGAATATGAAGAGTAGATAATGGCAGCAACCTATAAAAGCAATGGTATTCCGAGTTGAACATAAGAAATCAGGGAGCAAATTGAATTATTTGATCAATATTCACTTAAAACGAGGTCCGCACAAACAATGCAAATTTGGTAAAATAACCTTACCATATATTTCCGTTTTGCTTCTCAATAAAATACATAACTTTGCTCCAAAACTAGCATAACTAATTTTAGCTGGATAATCTAATAACAAGATTCAATAAACACTAACATTGATAAATTTTATTTTCTTCTTAAAGTTCCTCGTTAGAGAAAAATGGAAATAGGATTTTTAAAAAATGTTCTTTGAAAAAAAAACTTATTGTAAAATTCGATGAGTCCAGCAATTCTAAGGCGATTAATTTCATGCATTTACTGATTCCATCACTTTTATTCATAAGCGGCTTACAAAGATATTTTATTCCAATTATAATAAAGAATCAGCTTATACTAGCACACAATCAAAAAGTTAATCACCTAAAGAATATCTACCAACAAACAGGAACAAAACACTCATTAAGATCGTGCGCTAATCCGTAAAGCTGTCGCAATGATTTGCTCCTTGCTCTGCACTTTCAGCGCTTCAGCTTCAGCTTTGTTTTTTGCGCTTCGCGATCGAATAAGCAAGAATAACAACAGATATGTGTACAACCTTGCACGACCACGGTTTAAATAACCTGAAATCAGATGTGAAAATTTTCTCGACCAGAATGAAAAATGTATGATGACGTACGCTTATACAAAATGCATTCCCCGAAATTTTACTGGACAGCAAATAAAATACGGCCGCAGCTTCATACAACTGGAAGAAATGCTTTGTTGGAAAAGACAGAAGAAAAACCTTAGGCAGAATAAACGATAGGAAGTTTCATCAATAATAACGTTAAAACTGACTAAGCTGCGACAAAATAAATCGAACGCATAGTAGAATAAATTAATATATAGCCATAACTTCTCTACTAATTTTCTTTCAATCTCTCTTCTCTCCCACTCCTCCAAAATTTGGAAGTTTGATTAAAAGCAATTATCAATCACAATATAATGAAATAAGGGTAAAAGTTAGTGTTAGCGATTTCTTCTAACATATATGGTTGATTCTGTAACATATAATGGTTTCACTTATACATATGCTCGGTTTTTATGAATAAAACTAAAGAATAAAACTCACCCACAAACTTAAAAATGTCCTAAACTTTGACTTAAAAAAATCCACGGTGCTACGGTCGCATCACCTGGATAACCTCATTCTTTTTGAAAGTTATTGAGAAACACTCCTTCCTAATAGATATGATCACAACACCAGTAAATCATCTGTAACAATTACAATACTCATTCAACAAATACGGAACTTACACGATTGTTCTTTAAGCCAAAATCTTCCTTCCCACCACTTGTACATCGGTCGTAAGATTACATTAGTCTTCATTGTATGTACCACTTGACCATACAAATGAGCTGCCTGCCCAGCAACTTGCTTTATCAATGTAAATCCTTGCTTCACAACTGCTCCCTGAGCCATCTTCACTGAAATTTCAATTAAATGACCCAACTGAAATTGAAATTTTTAGCTTAATCTAACTGTCCTCCTTTATTTTACAAGCATTAAAAGACAAATATTTCACAAAATTAATTTCAAGTAAGCATTAGATTTTTGAGTTAATTTAAATGGTTAAAACATAATTAATACACTAAATATATACAAGTGAGCAGTTTTTTAATGACAAAATTGAAAGGAACACTTAGAAGAGAGACGTTATATGTCTGCCAGGGCTATCCAGAAGACACGTTATGTTTCTGCCACGGCCATTCAGAAGAGATGTTATGTCTCTATCAGGGCTATCCGGAAGAAGCATAACGTGGCAAGCTCATCTCATCCGGAAAAGATGTTATATGTCTACCAGGACTATCCGGAAGAGACGTTATGTTTCTGCCACGGCCATTCGGAAGAGATGTTATGTCTCTATCAGGGCCATCCGGAAGAGATGTTATGTCTTTGTCAAGGCCATCCGGAAGAAGCATAATGTGTCTCATCCGGAAGAGACGTAATGTGTAACATAGGTAAAAACAATCAGACCACGTGGTACCTGTCACCAATGCTGGGATTAATTTATCACCCACAAATCAAAGCAAAGAAAACACACAACTAACAATCAACCCAATACAAGAAATAGAGTTGCAATAGTGACGAGACTCTTGCAGTTGGTTCTTCTTCATCACTTCAAATTTCAAATTTCCCTTTCATTGTTTACGTTTTCGTTACGTGAAGAGGGAAGCGTACGTGACCTGCGTAATTTTGTTGTATTGTTGTAATTGACTTAGAGCTCATTTAGCTTTTATCTTTATGAGTTCTCGTGAATTGGACGATAAATTATTGAGCTAACTTATGAAGGTTATTTTAACTGTTGCCAAATTAATCTTCTTAATTCACAGTAGAAATGTGCCTTACAAAAACCGTAGAAAGTAACAAATAATCCTAATGAAACGCAAAATTCATCAATGTTTTATTTTTAACGTTGCAACAATGTTTTTATGATTGGATTGATTGAATGAATCAACAGTGCAGTACTGTAGATAGTGATAGTCCTATTAGGAAGAAATAAATTCTTATTGGTTAAGAAAAAAAATTAGTACTGGTTAAAAGCGTTCAAATTAGCCTTTAACAACGCTAGTTTTTTTTTTTCTGATTATTATTATGCTTTCAGTTCTTACTATCTGTACACATATGTCAACTTAGCAACATGATTAATATTTTAAATGTTTTATGTTGCCAATATTTCTTTATTATTAATAAACTATTCCTACTTAATATAACTCAGTGCAAATCTGCACAAATAGGAAAGTTAGTTTTCAAGAGAAGTTCTCACTTACTGTTCAAACTTACTTCCAACAAAAATTTCAGGATGATTCGAGAAGGTAAACCTCAGTTAGATTCTATGAAAAAAGAATTATTATTGCACATGAAAAATCATATCGTTGCAACGATGAGCACGAGAAGAGAGGTATATTTCTTCAAATTACAAAAAAAAAAGTTTATTGTACATTTTAAAATTTTATTTTTTTTTTTATGTTCGAAATTGTTCGGCGTTTATATCAATTTCTAAGTAATTTTTTTATTGTAATTCAATTTCCAAATAAATTTAAGCATTAGTTCAGATTGAGTTATAGCTGTGGCCTGCAAAATGAATTCGCTAATTAAAAAATTGTCTCACAGAGTTTCATGATAATTGTTGTACTGAGTATCCACCAGATTCTTTGGATGTAAAAGCATGGTTTCTTCAAGTTCTATCATGTATCTGTCATGTGTTGTATCATGTAAGTTACTGAAAGTTACATGAAGCCAATAATGTATTAACTGACAATTTAATTTTAAGGTCTACGATGCACTGAAAGAGTCATTTGACACCAGTTCTACAGATTTTTACAATCTTTCCTCAACTGTGAAGCACGTAAGGATAATTCAGTTGTTAATAACGTGTTTGGAAAAATATAAACCTCATCAGCATTTACAAGTATGTTACAAACAGTAAAATTTTTATGAAAGATACTAGAGAATATTATTGTATTATTTTTAATTAACTTTTTATCCATCAGGATGATGTGGAATGATAAAGCAATAGTGAAATAAAGCGATTATTATCCGTACTTATGTTCTTAGGTGCTTAACTGTAATTAATTTATTTTGATTTAAGAAGATAGAGATCCTTGCTTTCTTGATAACTATTGAATTGCTTCAACTATAATTTTTTGAGTTTCAAGGATGCTTTCTCTGTATGGAATTGCCGTTTAGCTCCTGCAGTGTTCGCACTTTCTGATCCAGTGGAACGACAGAAATTCAGCAAACATGCAAAACTGCTTGCTGCTTGTTTACTTGATTCTGATGAGGTTTGTTCTTTTTCATTTTTGGATCCGAAGGATTTTTTTTTGCTGAAAGAATTAAGTTGACATATTTGATTTGGGTAACTTTGTTGTAGTGTTATGCATATCAAGTATATAAACTATGATCATCTAAACAGTAGTTTGGTCATTGCAATTTTATTCTGATTTCAAGCTTTTTTCTTTCATTTTATTGTTTTTTTTTTTTGTGAAATTGGAAAACGTTCAAAAAAAAAAAAAAAAAAGATATCCTTGATTGTATTATAAATGTTAACAGGATTATTTCCAGTATACAAAAGCCATTATCTGCTTGGGACATGTCGTGCGATTACATGATGGCGACGTGCATTCACGATTATTGCTTACATACTGGCTGTGCTTTCTAGGATACTGGTCATTAGCCAAAACTCAGGTGCTTGACGAAGATGAAGTGAAACGAATGTACTCTATTCACAAAGAAATCATTAATGAAGTTATTAACGATATTATTTATCTACATACGGGAAAAGCAGCGGTATGATTATGTTCTGCTATTTTACTTGATGTTAAATCAACTATATTAAATTAAATGTTTCATGGAATAGATTTGAACTTATTGTGATGCTCTAAAGTCTCTTGTTTATTTATTTAGAGAGTAATTACAATTAGCTCAGTTAAAACGAGATTCTAAATAACATTAATTAATTGATGTGATTTCATCTAGGGACATCATTCCGGCGATTCATTACCAGCACATGATCGTATTCTTAAAACTATGCAGAGTTTCGAGTCCATCCTCACAAAATCGAAAGCAAAAACTTTCCAACAGTACGAAGCACAAATTCTTGTTAAACGGGTATTGATAGCTGCTAACCATTTCTCATCTGCTGATTTAACATTGGTAAGTGCAGTTCTTTGAGTTCTGTCAAATGACGTTCGAGTATGAGTTGATAAATGATGAAATAATTAACTCTTGGTTATGAACACGTTTAACAATAGTCTTAGATTTCAATCAAAAACATTTGAAAACAATCTTCAGTGATGTAAATTTAAGTGAAACATGAGACTCTCCAATAAAGTAATCACGGTTTCTGATGGCTGCGCAATATATATGATTAAACATGGCGTTTATAAAAAAATTTTAAATACTAGTTATTGAACTGTTTCTTTCTTCTTTTCTTTTCTCTTCGATTATTTTGATTATTTTTCATTGGCATCTCCGTTTTCCATTGATAGTGTTTCATGTATTTCAAAAGAAATCAGTTACAGTATCTTAGCTGTATAAGCTCTGCTATAGATTGGTGATCCACTACAAAATATGGATTTTATAAAAGCACGTTACGAAACGTTAGTGAAATCTCGAAGTAGCGTATATTATGGTAGCGATATGAAAGAAGAGGATGTCGGTTGTGCTACATTTGCTGGTGGTGAATTTCAAGAAACAAAAATTGATGAGTACCGTAAGTTCGAAAAACTTCGACCTCATTTCTTTTGGCACTTCAGTCAGCTATCATCTAAAATAGGAAACTTGAAAGTCGTTATTTCCTTGGTAAAAATAGAAATGATAGTTTATGGTCAATGATTATTATTATTATATCTCGAGGTTTAAAAGTAACCTCTAGTTCAAAGATAGTTTAGTTCAATGCATTGGTAAGATGGTGTAATGTTTTAGAAATATTTCATTTTTCAGTGAAGTTAAGTGCAGCTGTGGCGGAGCATTTCAAAATAGTATTGCAGCTATGTTTTAAATATATTGAACTGGGAATCCTTCGAGAGAGTGAAAGTGAAGGATTGAAATTGTTACATCAGGTTCTAAAAACATCAAATTTGCAAAGGTTTGTGTTTATTGTAATCGTTGTTATCTAATTAATATATGAAAATCAAGTTTTTTTTTTGTACCAAAATTACTTAATCTTTAATTGTACCTTCTCAAATGTTTTGAATTCTACTTGTAATTGGTGGTTATGCCTTATATAGTTATTGCAACATTTCTTAGTTTTCAATTTTTGGTTAGGTGTCTGGCAGTGTTGAACGTCTTATTTCTAACATCGACACTTGCTCGCGGTGATATTATAAACGTTCGTCCAGATCCATTTCGACCAATGATTGCTTCTTTGTGGAATGTTAGTTATATTTTTAGGTTAAATTTTTAATATAAATTTTCTATTAATTTCCTGTCTTTTACAAATCTGCTGAATATCGTTCTTATCAATAGCATTATCCCAGTTTTATAAATAACGCTTCTTAAGAGGTCTAAAAATGGAATTTCTGTTCGTACAGACAATGAAAGACTGAACAAAAAGCTGAATTTATCTTCTGGAAGTCAAGAAATAATAGATCTCAGTGAAGATGAACCAAGCAGGTAAGTTATATTCTCTACATTCGACTTTAAATATAAAATCAGGGAATAATTTTTAGCATTATTTGTTGGTAATAGTAAATAGTTCATGGATCTTCTTAATTTGAATATCTGTTTCTGCAATGATTCAGTTCACAAATATTTCTACCTTGTATAAACAGCTAAATTTAGTTATAGTGGGCACTTCCATTCGTTCACTAATTTTTGAGTGCTATCTTTTTTGTTGTATGTCTTGTTCTCAATATAATTGCAAGGAACGAGCATTGTTTCCAGAAACGTTCATAGTATAACTAATGTTTAAAATAGGACTAATATTGCGAGCTATATCGCTCTCCATTAGTAACTGTTTCCGAATATGACTGAGGTGATCTCCATCTAGTTTTGCCAGTCTAAAATTTAGCTGGATTACCAAATTAATATTTTTTCTTAAATTTCCTCATATGGTTAATATCAAGCGAAGGTTGATATCATTTTTCAAATTTCAGTTTACCAGAAGCAAATAAAAGAAATATGGAGAGTAAATTAATATTAGAAGAACATGTTGAATATTGTGATTGTGTGATATGTACACTTTGTGGCATGAATCCACAGATGCACATTGAAGCTATTTTTTCAAAGATGTTATTTTATCGTTATTCGTCAAGAATGTTTCGCATGTTTTCTGAACGGTAGTATTTCATGTTTTCGTTCAGATTCTATTTCACTGGTTTTATTAACTTGCCATTATAAACTATGTTTTCTTTCGTCTTGTAAAAGTTATCAGTTAGTACCATGATTATTATACGTATTGTAGGATTCTGAAACTGTCTCAGGAAACTTCATTAGACGTTATTGATATTTGTTCAGCACTTCAGAAGGAAGCAACGGATAAGGTGATTTTTTTTGCTTATCAATTAAATTTTCTGCCAAGGTTTACTTCTATATTTTCTTTTATTCAGTCTTGCGAGTTTGTACAAATGTTTGAATATATCTCAGGCAATCGAAGAACGAAAATATCCACTGGAAGCACTAGATCGATTTTTGCATGCAGCAATTCGATGGCTCCGAAGAGTTAGTGAAGAGGAAAAACCGGAAATTATCCAGGATGTAATAAAAGAATCGTTGAAAGTATGCCTACAAATTTTTTAATAGAACATGCTGGTTTTGATAGTCATTAATATGTTCACTACAATGTCTTAGGGTTTTTTGAAGGTTTTTTCTGTATTATTTTCAATTTACGACAATTAGAATTTATAGATATGCTTAACGGATCCCATACACTTTCGTTGGCAGTGGTTAACAATACGACAGTTAGCGCGTACGCCACTTAAAATTCCGAAATTGGAATGGCTGCGTTTACATGTTTCGCCAGTCAAAGCAGGATTGCGTTCACCGTTAAAATCTATTGTAATCAACCTTGCGTCAGAGTTAAATAGTTTGTACGTACGGAAATCCTCTTGACCCTCAATTAGAAATGATGCAGTATTAGTAGAAGTAGCCTCATGATCCGGAACTGTCCAAAAATAACCTCAAATACAGCATCTCACAAGCAATTTATTTATACAGCTTCAATTGTATTGTGATTTGTTATACCACCACTATTAAAACACTCCATTTTTGCAGGACACTTTGCTCACCAAGGCCATGTCCCACTGTGAACATGGAGAAATATACACCGACCGCAAAAACGAATCGCAACACTGTTACTAACGTTATTAACAATTACGTCGACACGGAAATGGAGGAAGCTCGGAAAGATTTTGATTCTTTTTCCCACCTTTTCTACAGGTTTAATTATTTGATGTTACCTGCATACATTTTACGAAAATAGAGGAAATTATGTCTTATTGTTCGCACTAGAGTTGCAATTGTGATGTCCAGTAAATTGAGTTACTTTTTTCATTCATTTAGAGAGTGGCGATTCCAAATATGTTCTTATTTGGGACAAGTTTGTGCTTTCCAATATAAAGCTAATTGGATTGAGTCGGGATGGAGTGCAGCTTATTATTTTAATGAAGCGATGTTTATCAGTACTCGCCAACTTGCTCGCATGATTTCCAAGAAGTCGGAAGAGAGTCAGAATTTTCACTTCAAAAATATCAAAAAGTTCAAGAAAGCCGTTCAATGTTTGCCACCCGGTATGTTTTTAAACTTTTTCCTATAGTTGGATATAATGACTCAAAATCTTCGAATCATTCTGTAATTGTAATTTTCAGTATTCACTCCTTTTTGATCAATTTCATTTTTTATTTAGTATCACTTATTATTTACGTAATTATTACTTGATAAAAAATCATTTCCGAGATACAAGATTTTGTTTGGCATCATGATTATTCATAGATGATAGGATACGTCAAATCAGGCATTCACATTTTTTATGGACTCAGTGAAGCTATTCCTTGATAATATTTTCTATAGATTGCAAAGACTTATAGATTCTGTGATGTTTTTTAAGCATTGTTTTCAGATTTGACAGTGGTGCAACTTTTTCTGGATTGTAGACGAATACTTTGGTTAATCAAATTATATAGTGGTCAGCCACCATTGGTCGTGCCTGTTGCATTCCTTCCACAGGTGATTATCATGAACTATTTGTTAATGGTTACAACTCTGACGAAAATATAGGCCATTCTCATAAAGACCATTCAAGGATTCGTTTCAGTATTTATTTTAAATTTAGATAATGTAATAACTTTAAGATTGTTTTCAATCGATTGACTTACTCAAATATTTTTTGTCTTAATTCGAATCAATCTACTGCAACGGTGTCTCTAATTTGTCTACAGGAAAAAAAAATCCTACCGTAATTGGATTTACGTCATAATGTATTGGGATTTGAAGTGAAATCAAATTTATTATTTAATAATTATAGTATTGAAGGCATAGCTTATACATAGTTCCAATAAATAAATTTTGAATTCCAGGAAAAAAATCTTGACTTAAGTGAAAAAAACATGTATAATGAATAATATTTAAAGAATGTCCTGTTGTTGTTTTGTTTGTCTTTTCAAATCAAATCTTGAAAAATTGCCCTCAGGATGACGTCCTTCTAAAACGTTTTGTAACCTTATTGGCGGAGAATGATGCATCAGGAAATCTTAGTAAAACATGCACAGATCCCAAAGAATATTGGCAGATAAGAAGGAAGTTGGACAAAAAGCTGAAGGTTAAGTTTCTTGGCTTGTTATGCAGCTGTTGAATTTTAAGCGTTTTGTTTCTTTTTTGATTGTGAAGTTTTATACCATTATCTAAATGGAAGATGCATTATAAATAGAGAAAAAAGATGAACTTTTTGATAAAAATGGTAGAATTTTTTGGTAGGAAAAGTGGGAAATTGTGAACGTTGTCAAATTTTTGCAGATTTTGGTTAATGAGGTGCAAGCAGAATGGTTTGGAATTTTTTCCGTTCTACTTTTACCTTCTGTCAGTGTAAATGCTGCGCGCATTTCAGCTATCAGTGAATTAATGAGCAGTGGACTTTCAAGAAGTTTTGCAAGTGTATGTATAACTAGATTTTATTTTTTATTGTTGCTTAAGCGGAGTTATTTTTCCATTTTGTTACAAAAACGCTGTACAATTTTGAAGTAGAGAAAACATGAATATGAGAAAAAAGCTTACCAAACATGGCACTGATAATTCGATCAAGATAATATTTCACTCTGAATATCCTTGCATGACGACTAAAAGAGACGGCTATAAGTCTCTTTTTAAATTTATTTTAGCTTTTTTCTAGGCATTAGTCGAGAATTTGGATCTGTCGACAACAAACTGGCGAAAGTTAGTGCAGAGGTTTTCAAGTTTAGAAAATTTCGATGAAACTATTGTCACGCATATTGCTGATCATCGAAATCATTGGATATCGAAATTTGGGAAGCAACCATTCGTTCGTGATTTCTCAAGCAGTTATGTTTTGTTTTGCGTCTCACCGGTAAGTCCAACTTTTAACTCTTTTTCAAGTAGTTTATCTAGGACATAACAGAAACCTTTTTGATTTAATTTCTTCAAGTTTTCTGTTCTAACTGTCCAAATGTAAAAGATTTTCTGATTCCATTAAAGAAATCAGTCTTACTAAGCCAAGAGAGATTCGTCACAACCGCAACCGCAGAACTTTGCAATGATATTGTTTGACAGTAACATTCTCACTGCTTTGATTCCAGGAATTAGCTTCATTTCCTTTCGAGCTTTTGCCGGTGATAGAGTCGCACAAGCGTGTCTGCAGGATATCATCATTTCACATGTTCGAAAAACTATTATCTCTTTCCGAAAAGGTTTTTTTCTTTTTAACTGTTTTCTCTCTCTGTTAAGACTTCTGAAATTTCTTCCTTATGATGCAGTTTTAGATACCAAAGACAGTTAATGGGATGAATTCTTTCTATGTGCTCGATCCTGGAGGTGATTTAACTGATACACAGAAAAGGCTTTCCAAAGAACTAGAGAAGTATACTTGTTGGAAAGGAACAATTGGAGCTGCACCAAAGCCGGAAGAATTACGTAACTCGTTAGAAACTAATGATCTATTCTTGTAAGCTTAACTTGTAATTTTTTTATTTCAATGTTTTCATGTATATGAAGGAAAACTCAGCAATTTTAAAAAATTGTTCTACATTGTGCTGTTGTTTTTATCCTCCCTACAAATTCGTATAACATTTCAGTTTCTTTCCATTATTCAGGCTTTTTCTTTTTTAAGTTATATGGGTCACGGAAGTGGTGGTAGATATTTCGGAAGGTCAACAGTATTGCGGAGTAATATTCGCGCCGTATCACTGCTTATGGGTTGCTCCAGGTTTAATATCCTTTTTTGATGATCTCACGAAATTGAAATTTCAATCAGACAAAATGGTAAGGGATATGTTAATATCTAATGTTTTATTATTTAAAATTCAATTGAATTTTTAGTGTTCGAATAACTTACGAAGGCGAAGGATTCGACGGGAGAGGTGCGATTTACGATTATGTTATAGCAAAGTGTCCTTGTGTTGTTGGTTGTCTTTGGATGGTGAGTTATGCTTAAATGACTCGGAATTAGATTTGAAATCACGGAATGAGATGGTTTGTAAAGAACAGATACTTGTACATAAACTGATGTTCGAGATATATTATTTGATTAATTGATGTAACTAACACAAAACTTGAAGGCATACTCTGCTTCGGAAATTTTAATATCTCTTTGCCTAAGGTCACAGATGGTGAAATTGACAGAGTACTCTTAGCTCTTCTGGATTTCTGTTTCTCGGGAATTCGAAAAGCGAATGGTGATAAAATTGAGCCAAAGTAAGTTTTTAAGAAATATTTTATAAAGTTTAACATGAACAGTTAAAACTGTTTCATTTTTACAGTTCATAAATTTTATTTTATTTATGTAGTGTTTATCAAGTCATATTTTAGTTAGAAAGAAAACATAGTGGGCAGTATATTAAATTTCTTTGCTGAAAATAAAGCTCTTGATTGGAAGATATTTCAGTTCATCATATCGATTACTGATAGATGGAATCGCATACGCTCGTACAGCATGTAAGTTAAAGTACATGACTGGTGGTGCTGTTGTTGCGTATGGATTACCCATTGTAACCTATCTGTCGGATGAAGCAACAGTCCAAAACAACGCAACTTTTTAACAAAGATACTACTTTGTTACCGAAATCGAGGGAATTATTAGTTACTCGACCTATTGAGAAAGGCAGTCTTTACTGAAGAAGCTGTTAAAAAGTATTTGAATTTGCAAATGATGTTTTCATAAGTTTCCTGACCGAAATTTTTTTTTATTAAAATTGTGTGCTGTTACTACGAAATTCCACTTTGGTCTTCTTCATAAGAATTTCATAGCTCTTATCTTTATTATACAACATTTGCACATAAAATGCTAAATTATTTCTAGTTAAATTAATTATATTCCTGCTCATGTTCTAATAAAACTGGTAGGTGCTTCCCGAGAGTATATTAATTTTTTTTTTTGGGTGAATCCAAAATTTAAAAAATACGCGAAACTTCAGCAAATCTAGAAATAGATATCGCCAGTATGCGCGACTTTTTTGGTTCATTGTCGCTGTATAGGCGTTGGCACCTGTAAATATATATTAGCCCAAAAATAGCTAGTACTTTTACTTCAACACTTTGCGAAAATTTAAATTGTATATAAACTTGGAAAGTGAAAAATTTTTCAGAAGTGTTTGACAGTATAAGAAGTGCAAACTGTTCTCCACATTGTTCTTCAGGTACTTTTTGCCTCATGTGATTGAATCACATACTGTCTCTTTTTTCTCTGTGTGCTTGTTCTTTCATTTTTATTCAGTTCTTTTTTTTTTTTTTTTTTTGGATTTTATCTTTCTCTGTATACGTGCCGCATGTATTCTGTGTAGAACAATTTTATAAAATCGTTCTTTAAATAGCTGAATTTCAAGATTCTACATTGTGTAGTACTTGTAAGGATGAAATATCAACACACTGCTATAGCAATAAATATCGTACTTTCAATGTTTTATATGAGATGACGGGTATGTCTAACCGACGATGTTTTGATTCATTTGTTTGTAAACTAAGAGTGATTGGAAGTGCAGTTAACAACGGCTTACATTCATTCTTTTCCTTACATTAAATTAGATTTTATCTCACGTATCATTTACGTATTATCATGGCTATCATGACAAATAGATAAATACATAAATATCTGTTGGTGTTTTTAGAATGATACTTTCTTTCATCGTTTTTTCTTTTTATGCAGACAAAATATGCGATGATACCATCGATTTGAATATGTTAATCGCTGCATATATTTAGTGAAGATGATGGAGTATTCATTTGAACATCCCATAAACAGAAAAGTGTCCCTCATTTTTTATTTTTTTGATCAAACAAAAGAAAAAAAAAGTTAAATTGACTGTAAAGTCTAAACTTGCTGAGAATGAGTTAATATCATTTTCATATATTATGAATCATTGTTTATACAGAATAATTCATAGTAATGAATGATGATGATGATGATCACTCTTATTATTATCCAAATAATGCTTATCACAATAATCATCTGTGTACAGTAAGTAGCATTTACTACTTCAGGAATATTTGAAAAGATGGGATGAGAAGAGGTGAGCAAATCGTGCACTGTTGTTAGCATTGAATAATAGTGCTGAATATATGTATGTGTATGTATAGGTGTGTGTCTATCTGTTTGCTTGTGAATGGTTTTGATGAAATTTTCAAGGATAAATCAGAATTTAGGACTATTTTCGCAACGATAATTATTGATTTCAAGGTTACTAAGCAGCAATTTTGGTGATACACTAATTCATCCTTATACATCGATTGGATGATTTAAAAGAGCTGGTTACATTTGCAAATTTAAGGTCTTTTTTTTTTTAAATTTTCATTTATGATTTATTTTTTTTTTTCGCCAAATGTAAATTCTAAATGTAGTAAAATGAAATTAATTAATAATAGCTCTATTAATAGATCTAATTTTATCAGATACTAATTTTAAGTCTATTTAATGCAATTATTTCATCATTCATTTTAACATTTTTTTGTAGATTTATAGCTTAGTTTTAAACATTAAATAGATTTGTATGAAGTGAAAGCTTAAACTGGGCTGCACATGAACAACGATTTAAGTCGTTTTCGGAGCTGAAACAATAAATTTCAATCACAGAAGCATACTGCTGAAGCTTATTTTTTAATTATTATAAATTATAATTGTTTTTTTTTTTTTTTTGATTTGATGAAGTGTGTTGTTTTTAATATGCGCCATATTGTGTGTTTTCTTTGTTTTAAAATATTCCAATAATTGGAAAGAAAGCAATTATCGCAATGTAAAAAAAAAAAATAACTCTTAGTTACTACAATTTCACAAAAAAAAAAAAATCTCAAAAAAAAATTTTTTTTTTCCGGAAACTTTTTTCTAGTTAATTTATTAAAAATTTCAATTGTATAAAATTTCTAAACATCAGTTAACATTAATAATTTCCAAATTTTATTGTATGAATTGGTAACATTTTTGTATCATAAATTCATTAATGATAGATGATAATATCCCAGAAATTGTCATCAGTAATTGTTGCATTAGGAATTCATTTATATCCGAAACAATGTATGTAACCACCGTATTTAGAAGAGTACAGTAGACTAATGAGATAAATCATTAACCCAAATATTAGTAGGCACAATACATTAGTGAATGTATAAGTCAACGTGTCCTAAAATTATTTCCTTTTATCGTTTTTTTCTCTTTCTTTTTTCTCTCTCTCTCTCTCCCTCTCTCTCTCTCTCCTATCTCCTCAAAAGAAAAAGAAAAAAAAAATGAATGAAAATATTTTGTTTTGTTGAAAATTTTTCCATTTTAACAATTAAAATGATAAAAGCAAAAGCAAAAGCAAAAAAAAAGAACGCATCGGATGAGAATCGATTGTGTTCGTTTTATTCTTTTAAAAGTAATCTTTGATCGATCAAAGACTAACTGACTATTTTGAATTTAAGAGAAAAAAAATTTTGTTGATATAGTAGTAGTATGAAATGATTTCCTTGAGAGAGAGAGAGAGAGAGAGACTGCTAGAGATTTAGACTACTGCAATTTTGCAATAATATGTGCTATTTTTGGAAAACTAGTAGCATGCTAAGAGTATTTCGAGACAATTTTAATTTATCATCAAGAGTAGACATATTGCTAAAGAGTGAGTGATAGAATGATAGAGAATGAATAATCATAGCGAATTAATTAGGAAGAGATGAAAATTAAAAGAGAGAAAGGAGAAGGGAGAAAAAAGAAAAAAAGTAGAAGCTAAGAGAATTGTTGGTTACTTTTGAGATATATGATATTATTTGAGAGAAAAGAGATTAGAAGGGAAATGTTCTTCAAAAAAAGATCGAAACAGAATATATAGGAGGAGAGAGAGAGAGAGAGAGAGAGAGAGAGGTTGACAATTGAAGTGTGATACATATAGCCTGCAGTGCAATTGACTGGTACCGGATGGTACCAATGCGCGGATCTGCAACGATTCTTGCTGGTGAGCATTTCCTCTGGGATAGTGGTAGTTGGTTACCGTGCTGTCAATTCATTGAAATTTAACTTTCTCTCTCTCTCTCTCTCTCCCTCTCTCTCTCTTTCTCTCTCTCCCTCTCTCTCTTTATTTTTCTTTTTTATCCTCGTTATCATTTAGTAACACATCAGTAGTGTTCCCCATCGATGGAATGAATATTTGATGAATCGTAGAGCAATCATTTCTTATTCTTCTACCGTGGTTGCTTATCTCAGGAGAAATATACCAGCTGAAATTGGAGTGTCCTCTTTCTCTCCCTCTCTCTCTCTCCCTCTCTCTCTCTCCCTCTCTCCCTCTCTCTCTCTTATATTTTCGTTCTCTAATCAAAGTACATCATTTTACTCTTTGCAATTTTCTTTTGCACATTGCTACTAGCTAGTTATCTGAAGAAAAAGCCGCTTATTTGATAAAAAATTAATTTTTTTATAATGCCTAAATTTTTTTTCTTTTTTTTACATGAAAATAAAAAAAAAACATGAAGAGAGAGAGAGAGAGAGAGAGAGTGGGAGAAAGAGGGCAGCAAAAAAAAAAAGAGAAAGAGAAAGGGTGATGAAAAAGATTGGATAATTTGATGATAAGAAATGAAATGAGCATTATTATAAGATCAGTCAATGAAAATCGATCTATGCTAACTGATAATTATTATCAAGTGATCAACTTGAGATAAGATAAGATAAGAAAGGAAGGAAGGCATATCATTGTAAATTTTTATATTTCATAATGGAACTAACTATTGCATATTATTGTTTGAATTTTGAATTTTTTTTTATTTTTGATATACATATATGAATGTAACAGTTGATTACACTGATAAATTTAATGAAATGTTGTGAAGTAATCATTTCAGATTGTCTAAGAAACAAGGAAAGGAGAATTCCTCTCAGTATGTAATAATTATTATCAGTAATCATCGGATAAGATTTGCCTAAATAGTTAAGATTATATCATTAAGCATTTATTTACTACTATTACATCGATATCATATTCCAAATCTTTTTTTTTTTTGTTTTGATTTAGGATAATTATCCTTTGTTAATCGTCGGGATGTCTTGTATTATTAAGTTGGATTTCATTAAATTTAATTAAATTAAACTAAAATAGCATGTATATTCTCTGTGTAAACTAATCTAATTAAAGACATTATTTTTCTAATTCTAAAATATGAATTATTTCTTGTGCATTACTCTTCATTCATTCGATGATAATGCTAGATTTGTGAATGAATTTTTCAGCAATTATGATAAGTGTGAATTGATTACGTTGATTAGATAGGTAATTGTATCTAAAATTATGCTAAATGCACGTTACTTGTTATCATTTATTATATCTATCTTATCATGATACCTATTATCACCTTGTTAGTGAGTGTTGGTTGATAAGGTAGTAGTGTGGTATGGGAATGGAAGGAAGAGATCATGTATGTCTGTTTGATTGTTATGGTGATAATTATCATTTCAAATGCTCTTCATAAGTTTGCTATGAAGAAAGGAATGCTGGAGAGGAGACAGTTTAAGGATTGAAAGAAAGGATGGAAGAGAAATTGGAAAGATGAAATTCATGGTGAAGAAGGTTATCTCGAGAGATAAAGGATATTAATCAGTCCAGTTGGAACAACAATCCATTGGTCAATTTGTCATTTTATCTTTTTGACTCTTTAAGACTAAAGATTTCTTATAAATGTTAGCATTATTATTAGCTTTATGCAAACTAATCTTATTGAAGTAAATTTCATGATTAACAATTTAACTCTGATGAAGAAGCAGTGAATTTTTGATTGGAAAATATAGGCCTTAAAATATAACTGATAATATTTATAAAATGAAGACTATTGCTTTAGATAGCTATAAGAAGTAGCAGAGAATTTTTGTTTTTTTTTTTCATTTTATTTTCTTTTTTCTCTTAATTACTTTCAATTTATGATCTTTGTCATATTATTCTGAATTTTCATTTCAAAAACTGTCTTCTTCATAGCTTATTCAACTTTTCGTTTGTCAAACAAGCAAAAGAAGTATAATAAATAAACAAAATGGTATTGGTTGGTACGATGAGGAAGATGAGGACAGTGTATTATATTTTTTTCTGACTGTTTCTCCTTTGAACTCGACATAATTTTCAAACTCGTTTTAACTTCCTATGTTTCTTTTAGATATTGAAGGTGAGAGGGAACGCTTTGATTGTTTTTTTTTTAAAAAAAAAGTTTGAAGTGAACAGGCACTGTTTCTTTCAGTAAATCATAGTGTCACGATAATATTGTATGCACGAAACTATATTTATTTCACTTTTACTTCATTTTGTCAACAACATTTGGCATTTTTTTTTTTCTTAAGCTTAGCAAATTATTTTCACATTGTTTAATTTTCCCTCATTTATTTTAATTTCTAATCAATTATTCTCTTAAAAGTTACTTATTACATTTTTTCTTTTTTTTTGCTTTTATTATCATTTCTTTTATAAACTTATTAGACATTAATTTTGCTTGATAATAATACCATTGAATTTGTTTTATTTTCAATGATTTGCATTCAAATTTGATTTAATTGAATAATTTCATCTGAAATTTGCAACAGAAAACGGACAAACTTTGTTAATTTCTCTTAGTATATTGTTGAATCTTTGTTATATCTGTCAATAATTACAGGTTTTTTTTTTTTTTTTTTGTAGGTCTTAAGAAAATGGAACAAATGGGATAACTGTTGATTATTTTAATTTGTTTCACTTTTTGATGTTTATTTCGATCAAGAAATGACAACAAACACATAGTTAAAACAAGGAAATTTGATAAAAATCATATACTATCACACAATAATTTATAATTTGAAAACCACGAAAAGAAAAAATGAAAAATTTTCAAAATATTTCAATAGCCTTGACCCAATGAATTTCAATCCTTCTCTCATTTCTTATTGTCATTAGTTCATTTTGCTTTCGGAATTTTTCATTATATCTGTCTATTATTTAAGATTATTGCTTACTTCCTGTAGTTATTTTCATTGATTTTTTCATAGTGATAACTTTATCAGATAATTGTTTTCATTTTCTTTTCAGACAAAAAAAAAAAAGGAAATAAGCATTCTTTTATGAAGAAATATGCATCAAATATTTAGTAAAGTATGATTTAATAATGTCAGAATTGTTGTACACAAACAAACAATAATATGTTTGCTTGACCTCAATTTTAAAAAGGTTATTAACATCGATATGAAGAGTCGATTAAAAAAAAAAAAAACATATATATTGGAATGCTTGTAATGATGCCACACCTGTGGACACATTCGAATAACAATTTAATGATCTACTGACTCATCAATTGCCTTTTTAAAAAAAAAAAAAAAAATTGAGGAGGAGAAATTCCTCATTGCACACTTCTAATTATCTCTATTTATTTAACAAAACAAATCAATCCTTATGTTTTTTGTTTTTCTTTTAATGAAAAGTTAGCTATTTTCAAATTTAGTTAAAATTAAAAAAAAAAAAAGAAAATTTATGTCATAATTATGATTTAATGTAATATCAATTTTCTAAAAATTTTATTAACTTTTTGCAAAATTTTATTCCATTTGTTTGTTAAATTTCTCATTAAAGTTTTCTTTTTTTTTTTTTAACAAGAAAATTATTTGAGTGAAATTTATGTGAATGTTTAGTTTTATTTATAGTAATATATGGCATAATTTATTTATTGATTGATCTAAATTAATACGAATGTTTTATATTATCTGTTTTGTTTCTAATTAATCAATTAATTTCGTCGAGAACAAGTTTTTTTTTTTTTTTTTTTTTAAATAACGCAGCGAAAATGTATATTTCATTTTTATATATACGAATAAAACAATCAAATATTTTTTTTTTCAGATTTCTTCTTCTATTTCTCAACATTTGATAATACAAACAATAAACAACGCTACTACAAATAAGAAGAGAAAGAGAAAAAGAAGAAAAGAAAGGGAGAGAGAGAGAGAGAGAGAGAGAGAGGGCAAGGGTGTATATGGTGAAAGGAATTAACGAAGGATCAAAGTGATAAATAGTTCGAAAGCTATTACTATTTTTGCTAATTATTAAAATACTATTCAAATTTATTCTTATTACTATTATTATTATTATTATTAGTGATAATGCAATTATTATTATTATTATATTCATCAACATATTCATTCGTCTTCTTCTTCCTTACAACATTATTATATTTATCTGTTGTACAAACTGTTACTGTACCATCAACTATTGCTATCAATAATTTGCATTGTAATGCAGCATTTAAACAAGCAGCTGAAATTAATGAACCAGTAAGTTTTGTTTTTTGCATTTTATATAAAATAATTTTTCTTTCATTAATTAAATCATTTAATAGATTTATTGTTATAGCTAAATTACTTTAATAATTATTTAGATATTTTATTATCATCAATATTCGATGTTAATTTATATAATAATTGCTAGATTATTATTATTACTAATTAATGAATTGAATTATATTCAGTTAGTATTTTCAATTCATTTTCTAACAATATGAATTTGAATTCATAATTTTCAAAAATTTAGTTGAATAATTTTATTGAAATTATTTAAAATGTAGAAAGTAAATGCAGACGAATTTTGAGAATTTATTTGCTCATCCTATGTTTTTTAAATGGTTTAAAAAAAAAAAAAAAAAAAAAAAAAAAAACAAAATTGAATTAAACTTAACTAATCAAAACTTTTGTAACAATTAAAATAAAATAAAAAATTAAAGACATAGTTTTAATGTATTTGAGTATTTTTTTTTTTTTGATTTATCTTTTTCTATTCATGAAGCAGAGTATACTTTCTTTTATTATATTGAATTCTTTTTTTCCCCTTGTGGAAGTTTAAGAATTTGTTTAATATTATTTTAGTTAAACTGTAAGGTTTTTGGTTCCAACTTTTTACCATTTTTCTTTTTTGTTTTGTATTTTTGAGGTAACGAAAAAGGTAATATTTATGATTACGAAGAGATTATTGATTACTCTTTCTTACTGCAATGATTGATTGATTGTTTAAACTCATCTATTATCAGATATTTTATCAGTCCTATTGTAATATTTTGTTATTTTTATAGAAATTACATTTCAATTTTGATTTTAGATTAGGTATGAATTTGATAGAAAGAAATTCAAATTTTAATTTTATCTATTGAAAAAAAAAAAAAAAGGTTAGTATAAGCTGTTATTTACTATACGATGAAAAATCAATAATAAATAATTATTACCAATGAAATATTCTGTATTCCAAATTCTTCTAATAAGTAGTAATTTTTCTATAAAAGTGAAAAATGAATAGTAAAATTTGTGAAATATATTATACTTTTGAATGAAGAGGTTATCTTTCTTTGTATTTATTCATTAAAAGATAGCCGAAATATAAAACTTAAAAAATACATTTCTTTTTCGTTGCTCAAATTTTTTTTTCTTAGGAAATTCTGAACTTTTTTAGAGGGAAACATTTAGAATGAGTTTTTGGAATTTTTTTTTTTTTTTGTATATTTTATATATATGTATGTTGCATTTTTTTTTTGGATTTAATAATAAAATAAATTATTTTTAAATGAATATTTCAAAATTTTCTTAAAAACTATTTACAGTATTTTTGTTTGGAATGTTTAATTAATTAAGGTAAAAGGTTTCAGTATTCATAATAGCTTATAGTAGAGATTCATAAATAAAGTTTATGGATAAAATTCAATGAATTTGAAAATTATTTGATAGCTATCAACAAAAATGCATTTATGATTCTCTTAGATTATTAGAAGACGTATGATATAGTTATCTTCATTTCAAATTATTTTTAAATAACAAAAAGGAGTAGTAAATTAACTATAATTATATGCTTGATTTAGTTAGCTGTATATAGTTGAATTGCTTAAAAAAAAAAAAAGCCACAAAGCTATAATTTAGCTATACAGCTAAAAATAAATCTCGAGAAAAATGAAAGGATAATGTATATAATTATCATATAGGAAAATAGAACTCCTCAATGCTTCCAAAGAACATAAATTTTATACGTTCCATCAATTTTTTTTTTTTCTCATTATCAAGAGAAATAATAGTTCTTTTTTATGAATTTATTTATATAACTAATAGCTTACAAGAACGATTGCTGAAAGATATTCAGAGGATGTTTGAAATTTATTGCTTTTAAAAATTATTACCTTCCATTTTTTTTTTTATTAGTTTTCAAAATTCTTTTTTGCTTTTTTTGGTTTTTTTTTCCATCTTATATTTACAAAAACTTTTAAAATATTGCTTCTATCATTTGAATAAATTTTTGAGCTAAGCATTTTTATGTAAGTAGAAAAAAGCATTCATATAATGTAATAAAATATATTTATCAATTGTTACTTTTACTGTTAAACTTTTATAGTTTAAGATATTGAGAGAAGAGGAAGTGAGAAAGATTTTTTAGCAAAGAAATATTTGAAAATAAAATTGTTATTCCTAATTAGTAATTTCTCATTTTCTTATTTCAGGAAGCATGTCATTGTTTTCCGGAAGTGGTATCTTCAAAAGAACGCGAATCATTGTTATCAAACAGAGAAGGTCTCTGGATTGGTTGTACAAGACAGAAAATGCCACAGGTGTTCAGCGCTTTAAATGCACTTAATGAAACGATGGTATCTAAATTATGGATTTGGGATTCATTGGTCAATATTATACCAGCTGATATGTTTGCTCAGGTAACATTCAGGTGTCTTGATGTTTTGTTCAGTAAATGAAATCATCTCAGTTACGTCAACATTCAGAATTTCATGATTTTTTTCATAGTTCAAATTATTTGAGATTTTGCATTTACTTTTTAAACATGATTTAGTTGCTGAATAACATTGTTGTTATAATTGCTAAAGAAAAAAAGAAAGAAATGTTTGGGACTAATTGAAATATGTAAGGAAACGTATGATTGATTATGTGAAATGATATTATAAAATAGATATTCGTTATATTTTTAAGTGATATTTTAAGTAAATCATATTTTATCATTCTTTTCCTGTATAAATTTTCATCGCTAATTTCAGTAAACGGAGAGTATTGTTAATATTAACAATTATTAGGAATTTATACATAAAAAATTCTGTCCAGATGTAATTTTGCAAATTTTATTAAGTGGTATAATTATGGTTCTTCTTTATGTAACCATAAAATGCATTTAGTTCTATTCGAAAGATACAATGGTTTCAGGTTCGTCCTCGAATTTTATCTATAGAAAGATCAGGATTAAGCCTATTTCGTCCCGGTGCATTTAGTAAAATAGGACGACGATTACAAGTGCTACAGTTGAGGAATAATATTATCAAACGAATAGAGCCTATTATGTTCAAAGATTTGGATCGTCTTGAAGTGCTGGACCTGGGAGGCAACAAAATTTCCTCAATTATTGCAGGTTCAAATACTAATTATTTTTCGAAACCTTTTTTTCGAAATTATATTTATTCTATAAAGTGATGTTCATCTTGCGCTGAGGTTTTCATGAAGTTATAATTTAGTAATGAAAAGAAGACTGAGGAACATTTGAAGTACTTGAGTGTTTGGCAGTGAAAAAATGCCAATTATTTTTATTTTTTTTTTTGCTGAAGTCGTTGTAATCTTTGTTAGTAAATGCTATTGTAAATAAGAAAGAGGAAAAAGTGATAGCGAAAATTTTTAGAGAAAAATCATTTAATTGTAATACAAACAGTTGAATACTAGAATGAGAATATCTGAATAGAGAATGAAAGAAATAACTGTTTGTGAATGAATATAGAATTATTAATGTTTTTTTCGTTTACAGATTCTTATGCTTCTGGAAGATGATTTTCTTTTTAAGGTGAATTGGATCGGCTAAAAGATTTGGATACGCTAATCTTAAGTGATAATCAAATATCTAATATTGAAGATGGAGCTTTTGCATCTTTGAGTAATCTAAGAACATTGAATCTAGCGAACAACAAACTGATGAATATATCTGCGTAAGTTGAATTATATTTTTTTTTTTTTCGTAACAACGATGAAAATAAAAAACTTTTTAGGTTAAATCTCTTCATCCAATTACTTCTGGTGGATAAAAAGCATCATCTGTAATCATAGCTATAAAATTTATATGTAAAGAAGATAAAGCATTTTGTTTAATTGCATTGTCAAGAAGTTCTAATCTATTTTCAGTGGCACTTTCCGTGGTCTTAACAACCTGGAAACGCTGAATTTGCAAAGCAACAACATTTTATATGTTAATTGGAATGCTTTCGCGCAACTGAAGAATTTGAAATATTTAAATCTTGGTAGGCTTTTGTGAATTTTTCGTAAAGGGTAAAAGGGCTATTGAAAAAAGAGCTTCCTTTAAATTCTATAATAGATGGTAAGAGTGATCAGGACTTAGTGTATAAATTATTTCTCCTTTAGGATCAGCAAATTGATAGAAATCATTGAGATTGCAGATTTTGATAAATAGAAATATTTGAAATTTGATTAAAATTTTTGACTGGTTAAGAAATGTAAATTTAAAAAAATTCAAAAAAAAATTTTTCACATATTTTATTTATTAGAATCTTAATTGTTAATTGTTAAATCAAAACTAAATGATTGTAATGGAATTATATGTGTCAATTATAGGAAATAATCATATTTCACGGATAGATCTTCGTGGATTGAAATCGTTAGAAAAATTATTTGTTAACAACAATAGCATCCAATCAATGAAAAATATTACGTTACGTGATCTACGCAATCTCGCTTTGTTAAGTCTAGATAGAAATTCGATCACAGAAGTACTAAATGGTGATTTGCATTCGTTAGGTGAAAGCGGCAGGTACGAATTTGTTTTAACATATTTCCATCATATTTTAAAAGTGCGTCCTGGATTTCTCTTTTGATTATGCATTGAAGCACTTTTTTTTTTTTTTTTTTTTACATGATAGCATTTTTTATTGTATAAAAGATAATAAATTAATATTTGAGGATATGATTGTAGTGATAATTAAATATGATGAATAGAGTGAATTTTTTTCCAAATTATTTCTAACCAGAATTTTTCAGACTCAGCACATTTTCGATTGCAGCGAATAATATTGGTAAGATTGAAGCTCGTGCATTAGAGCCAATACATCAAATTACTGCACTTTCGCTACAAAACAATCAACTCACTTCACTGACAAGTAGTGATGGGACAGGTATTCTTTCCTAATATTTTGAATAATCCAGAAAAATCGGGATGGTGAACTTCTTCGTCTTATATTTTAGAATACATCAATAAATTTCAATATTTTATGAAAATATGATAAGTAGGATTATAATAATGGCTTTTTTTGTAATTTATTATAATTTCTATTCAAGTTCTTTACCGTTTAATTTTATTGCAGCGGATGTATCTTTTTTGCGACCATTAAAAAAGCTTACTAAGCTATATTTATCGAATAATAATTTGGTACGCGTAGGAGAACATGATTTCAGCACACTGAACTCGTTGAAGTTATTAGCGCTTGATAATAATCAAATTGAAGAGGTCAGTTTTTTTTTTTTTTATCACTTTTACTGAAGAATTAGGAATGATTATGTATTTGTTCACAACATATTAAAATGTGAAGTAAGCTGGACTACATATTGTCATTGTCCACCAGAGCTCTTGGTACCGCTGTTTCAGTTCCTATCGAAAGCTACCTACTTTTGCAGAAATTATATATATATTCCACTTAAAAAAAAAAAAGCTTCAGATACACGGGAAGGCATTCATTGGTTTGCCTTTAAAACGCTTGTACCTCAATCGTAATCGCCTTTTGTATTTGCCCAAACAGTTACTCGATAATCTCAATGTTGAACAACTTAGTGTCGTCGATTTCTCAGGTTTGTCGTCCTTTCTTTTCTTCTCTTTATTTTGCCATTTAGGAAAAGAAAAATGCGAATACAAAATTTTCCACAGTTGTCCTCTGCCTTTTGTTGAGCCCTTGGATAGTCTCGGATGCTTCATTAATAAAATCATCGATTTTCAATTTTTGACTTTTTCTGCACTTTTTATGATATGCTTTCTTATTACACCTTTTTTTTTTTTTTACTGCAAATTTCTCCTTTTTTCTTTTCCTAATTTTCATTGAATTTTCTAATTTTCTTTATGCATACTCCATTTTTGCATTTTTTTTCAAATAAAAACAGACAGTTTCATTTTGTAGATAATCTCTGGCAATGCATTTGCGGTGAAGAATGGCTGGCGGACTGGCTGTCATCAATTGGCGATCGAAACGTGGTTGATGGCAGTATGGGATGTATTGGATCACGAGTATGTGCTACAGAGCATACAAATGAAGAACATAGTATCTGGATAACGGTTGTTGCCAGTGTACTTGCAGTTGTTTCATTGCTTATTCTGATTGCAATAGCATTGTTGTACGTCGAAGATGGTAGGTTTTAATTTATCGCATAGTATAATTTATGTAATTTTAAGAATTTTGAAAATATAATTATCTTCCTTATTTATTATCAGTGTAGTTTAATTTTGTTGTCGTTTAATTGCAATAGCTCTGCTTGTAAGTTCTCCTTCTTATTTTCCTTTATCATAATTTTCACTTTTTTTTTTTTTTTTTCAGGAAGACGTGTGAAAAAACTATCATATCCATTAAGGCGAGTACCTTTAGATCTTCTACAACTTATACCAAACGGTTCAACTACTTCATTGCCATATGAAAGTGGTATAGAACCGTTGCTTACATGTAGCATACCAAAGGAACCATTGTTAAACGATGATAAACTTCGATTGTCTACTTGCATCAAAAGTGCATTAATCGTACCGAATCATAATAACAAGAGTGATATTGCAAATAGTAATAATGGTTGTATAAATGGTAATGGAAAGAAACGAGTTCGTTTCAACAATGCATAGTTATTAAATGTAACGATTCAGGTACTTTTCCTATGCAAATGTTACAAAAAATATAATTTCTTTCTTAATTTTTATTTTTCAAAATATAAGAATTGTGAGAATTTGCTGGTTTTTTGACCTCTTTAGGGGGACATTTTTAAAATGATTTTAGAGAATTCTTTCTCTGCAGTTATATGTAAAGTTTTTAAACACTTTTAAATAGCATGTATGAAATTCATAGCATAAGAAGCATGATTTCGTTTAATCTTTATCTACTTTACTAACATTCTACCACTGTTATATTTAGGTAACATTGTTGATATTTCCTTTCCTGTTTTCTTCTTGTTTTATTTCTCATGATATTAAGTTTGTGGCTACAATGTTCGCTACTGATTCTTCATAAAGCATTCCATTATGATATATTATGATGCTGATGCATTGAATTAGGAAAAGTAATTGATTTTTAATAATAATAATAATTTCAATAATTTTCGTAATTTGTCACAGATGTTCATTAAGGAAGAAACATTGCAAGCATAAATTCATTTTTGATGTAGTCTCATAACGGGTATTTATAACTGATATTCCAGAACATCTAATCCAAACGCCAATTTTATTTCTGTTATAGTGACATTTTGTTCTTATTTTCATTAGAAAAATCATTTTCATCGATTTAGGTGTCATAAAAATTATTGTAGCATGCTTCAATGCATCAGCATAATTCTTTAAGAGTTAAAATTCTAAAATCTATATGTCAGATTTTCGGGGCTATAGCTCTTGAAAGAAGAAATAGGCAAGTTTTTATAACTCTGTCGAAGTGCAGTTAATGATTTTTTATCGGTTTCTTTCATTTTTGAAACGCTTAATGTTTATGGTCGCAGGTACGGCATCTTTTTTTTTGAATCATTTTTAGCCTTTTATTATTTTGAATTATTACCTTGTTTCGTACAAATCACTATTTTATTTTTGGCCTTCTCGTGTAAATTATATGTTGGTTTCTCAGAGCAGTTTATGTGTATAATATTGTAAATATTAAGTTTGGAAAGGCTTATTTCAGAATACTCAGTTGTTCTTATAATCTACTTCTTGGTGCTACTAAAGATTCAGCCATGATCTGTTCAAATGACATATTGCCATATTTGAAATGCGAAATTTGAAATGAAAAAAAAAGCATAAAAGTGCGAAATTTCTAGATAAAAATAAAATTAATTATTCATCAAGAAGTGGTACTTGCGATTCTTTACAGGTATGCAGTTCTTTTGATCATCACAATAATACGAAGTTAGAGGAGCAGTACATGCGTTAATAATTCTATTAATCAGGTGAAATGATTAATCGAATCAGATCCCTTAAAAATTTTGGTTTCTGTTTGTGCTTTTTGATGCTTTCTGATGACCTTTCTCCATGGATTCTCATTGTTACCTTGATATGTCCTTCGTACTTCCTCCTGCTTCTCAATAATATAATATAATGTTTTGTCACAGTGCACACCCAAAATTTCACACTATTTATTGATTTTAAAAATTGCTTGACTCGTCCGACTCAAAAGCTGGAAAACTTGAGTCTCGATTTCAGCCACTGCAAAGTCAGATTATTTACTGACCTTTAATCATTCGAATTTAACTGATTTAGTAATCTCAGATTAAATGTATTTGATTTTGATTTCAACTGTTTATTTGGCTGATTTCACTAGACTCATTTGTTCAAAAAGTTCTATTCCTTGTATTGTGATCTGCTGAAAGAAATTATTTTTTGTTTAGCACATTTTTTTTTACGTAATTTTCACAGCATAACTAATCAGCGGTATTTCTCAAGGACACAAGCGTTTGAGTTTTGTCAGTGTATTTGATTATAAATTTATTTATCTTTATTTTTTTCATTTCACAATGTTATATTCGGTGTATGTGTTTACGATTATAATTTCTGCATATATTTTTATTGCACGACTGTCCACGAACATAATCTCAGTTTTCTAATCTTTATTTTCTACCTTCTATGATATTCATATTTAATTTTATTTTAAGTAAAATCTACACAATTTGTTAATTCATTGTCATTATATTGCAATGGTATTCATTCATCCAATAAGGGCTCACATGGTTTAAATCTTGATATGCATTTGACATTCAGAGAGTAATCATCTCGCTGTAACACGTGTTAGAAAAAATTTCGTCGTGGATAACGACTGAAATTCCCGCACTTCCAAACTACGTAATGGATATCATTACAAGAAATGAATATTCGACGGCATCTAACTGATAATAGCAAGCTTTCCCAATTCAGTGGTTTTAACATTTGGAATTTTTTATCGTCATTCTTTGAGGGAGAGAAATTAAAAAAACGGAAAAAAGTCAACTAATGATTCGTTTTTGGTTCCTTGAAACTTACGGAAATCTTTCATGTTCTCACACTAGATTTTTCACCTGCCTATATTGGCTTGGTGAAGTTATTGCATGTAAAAGCTATGGAAATACAAGTAAAAATATAAAAATATACATTAAAAGTTGACAAATCTTCACAATAATCACATAGAGAAATATCAACAAATCTTCACAATATTCAGAATCATACCCACAAAAATTATTTCTGAAACTCGATTTATTGTCAGTCTGTTTGTCTTCATTTCAATTCATATTACTCTCAGGAAAAGCCCAGGGACAATCTTGTTTCGCTAAAAAAAAGACACGATTATAGTCGATCCTTCCCAAATCCCTAGAATGTAAGCTTTCTTAATTATGAAGTGAATTCGGTTCAAGGAGTATTAAAACCAGTAAAAGCATTCCATTACTGGAGAAAGCTACAACCATTACTAAATTTAATTTTGACTTCATTCCGTCATAATTAGTAAGTCAAGAAGCCAACTAATCCAGCTTACTTGCTCTTCACACCTCAATTAACATGGAAAAATTGAAAACTTTTCAACTTTACAAATATGCAATCGTTTTGCCTTCAGATTTCTCTCTTCCGAGATAAAACTTTCATTCCAAATATTCAGTGATTTCAAATCTTCCATTGATAAGACATGAAAACTTTGAAAATATTTTCCCTTCTGCCATACCACCAGAATAACAGTCCAAAATGCTCTATAGATTCGAATACTATATTGAGATACACGAGGGTTGGACAGATTTTATTCACTTCACTATATGCCAGCTAACCCTACCATACGTCAACCAAACCATTTGATTGTCACAATAACAAGGCCACCATCTCTAGCTGCTGCTAAAGTGAATCCAAAGGCAAAAATTTTTAATTAGAAATTTGTCAGCGTAGCAAAACACGAATCCGGTTGTGGTGTACAACTATGACCATGCATTGTGAAATTTACTTAGACCATAGTATGTAGTAAGTATTGCGTAGGAGCTGATTTTGTGTTTTTATGAATTATGTGAGTGTTATAAGCTGTAGCAAGGAGGTCAAAGGATAAGATAGAAATGTGATTTAGACTGAATAAGAGAACACTTCAGATATTTACTTCTAAATTATATGACTTCGAAAGCAATGAGGCCTCTATGCTTATCTTAATAAAATTTTATTTGCTTATCTTGTTAACATGACTCAACACAAGCATGCACAACGGCTTCATACCGTGGATAATAACTTTTGATTGGAGTTGAATATGTAAAGAATGCTTAACAATAATTCGTACCACTGGTGGTTAGCATCCCTTCCAAGTTTAATTCATTGAAAGAGTAAAGGGAAAATAATATTGAAATCCATATTTAAAAGAGGAAAGTAGGTGTTACAATAAGTGTTACAGGTGTTATGGATCTGAACCTTGGCGGAAGCAAGAAGAAGCAACATCATGTTCGGAAGAAATACAGCATCATTACGTTGGATTTATTTAAGCCTACGAAAAAATCATATCCTGAATTTGATTATGAAAAAATTTGCAAGGAATATCTGGTAATCAGATTACTAATATTTTGTAAATTTTTCTTTTTTTAACGCGATTTTTTCAATCACATGTTTTCTAAAGAAAACACTTCTTAGGGAAATTAACTTTGGAAATCAGAATCGCTGAGAGTTAATAGTAGTGATTGATTTTCGCAAGAGGACGCATACTTTGTTAGGGAACTTCTGCAAATGAAATGTTCAGTTATTGTCATCCTTAAGTTTTATTTCTTAAACTGTTCAGTTAATCTTGTGCCATGAATTCACCTATCAACATACCATGTTTGCTTCTATTAAATTCTAAAAATTTTTAACAACTTTTATGTTTAACGGAATAAAAATGTGCAATTCTAGAAAGAAGATGAATCAAGTGGTGAGGATGAACGTTTCCATGATCGTGAAGCTGAGGAAATAGTGAGAAGGTTGGAACGAAAATATGTGAGTTGAATGCCTTTACTGAATTAATCGATGGATAGTTTTATTTTAATTTCCGAATATACAGGTCTCGTAATAGTTGCTTGGGACTTGTAAACATATATAAAAAATGCTATTAAACAATGGTATTTAGTCGGAATCTGAATCAGTTATATGTTTTTAGGGCGGCAAGAGAGACAAGCATGGCCATAAGATTCGTTTTGGTTGTGCTGATGATTATATGGACAAGACAGCCGGTTACGACCTCACTGATCCATTTATTGATGACACGGAAGCTGTAATTTTTTAAAAACTTATTTGATATTAGTTCTGGATAATTTCATTCATCTTATTTGTATGCCTATAATTATGTGATGATTATTTCAGTATGATGAACACGTTCCTTCAGCTTTGGATACTGCACGCGGAGGTTTTTATGTTAACAAAGGAAAATTGGAGTTTAAATCAAAGTTTGCTGAAAGTGACGGAGATAGTGATATTGAAGATACAGTAGTCAAGAAGAAAGCGGTGGAAAAAGTAAGAATCAGCACTTATTGATAACACTGACTTCTTTATCAGGAACTGAGCTTTAAAAAAAACAATGTTGTTCTAATTCTTATTCTACTTTTTGTATTACCTTACGCTGTAGTTAAATCTGAAAAGTTTGGGAATTTTTTATGCTGCAATTATCTAAATTATTTTTCATCCTTATC